AAAGTTAGAACGGCTACTACCATAATGAATGTGCGCGCAAGATGTAAATCATCAAAATCTGCAAAACTGTAAGAGGCAATTTTAAAAAATCGCATACCAATGGATTTGGAATAAAATGCTCGTCATTTTTTGTCATTATGAAAATTTCAATAAAATGAAAAATTAAGTTAATAAATTTTTTTTTGTTATAAACAAATTGTATTTTTTAAAATTTTTTAACACCATGTTATTGTACATAAGAAACCAATAACCTCGCCCATTAACAATTTTTTTGTATCTCTTTCCGTTTTCGAGATAGCCGTTTCGAACCAAAACTTCAAAGGGTGGTTTCACCCCTTAAACTCGAGTTACCGCAGCTAAAAAAAAATACGTGTCGATTATTTTTGGCTGCTTTATAAGTGTACAAAGTTTCATCAAAATCGAAGCCGGACTGTTCGCGATGGTTCCTTGTAAGTTTCAGTCTTTCTAGTGTTAATATGACACCTGTATGGATACCTCCAGTCTAATATAAAATTTAAAATCTGCATCCCAACAATTAATCACCCAAATCCTCTGCTTCCTCATTAACAGAACTAAACACGTTCCTAGTCTCAAAAGATACTATCCACTAGATTTAGCTACTTATCAAGCCCATTGTTTTATTCCATTTGGAATTAAAAAAAAAGTAATGCACGTACTAAAAGAAAGTTGACTCCCACTATTATCATCTTCAATGTTCAATTGCACTAGGATTTCAGATATGAAAATATAGGCTACTTAATATGACACCTACAAGGAGACCTTCAATCTAATATGAAATTTTAGATCTACATCCTAACAATTAATCACCCAAACCCTCTGCTTCCTCATTGACAAAACTAAGATCTCACTAGAAAACAAAGATCTAATGAATTATCAGGCCCATTGACTAATTACATTTGGAATTAAAAAAAAAGTAATGCACATATTAAAAGAAAGTCGACTCCCACTATTATCATCTTCAACGTTCAATTCCACGATTATGCCTGTATCTATAAGATGCAACGGAAACTAAAGAATTTCGATCACGTTTCGATCATTATGTTCCACGGGGATCACCATTTGTCGAACAAGCAGCGTGGAATTTAAATATCGAGAAATCAGTAGAATATATTTTTATCGCGCGGAGTCGCAATAAGCGCTTCAAAACGATAATTGAAAGCCTAGAACGCGATCGACGATAAAACCGGGAACGGACATGCAGTATTTACAGGAGGCGGTGAATCGTGGCCATTTATTTCGAGCGACGGCGGAAGAAAAATAATAAAGATGAAAGACGGGAAGTTCGGGCGAACAAATTCACGGCCCCGAGGCGTACGACGAACCTGCTTCGATAATATTACAGTTTATATAGCGAATAACACACGGCAGCCGGAAGCTCTGTTCTCCTCTCCTTCCTATGGTCATCTAGGTTGGCATCGGAGTGTTACACATTTCGCTCCGCCTTGTCGATCGCACATGCATGCTGCCCGGCTCAGTACGCGAGCAAAATATTTATGCAACGTTTTAACATTTTACATCCTGTCTCGTACATTTTTATTACTCCTCTTATTCTGCTTTTACTGTTAGATTTCGTCGAAAAACAAATTGCTCCTCCAACGAGTCACGATCAAATTTCTATTTACAATTTTTAAACGATCTCCACGATCAGACGTACAGTCTACACTGTATGTAATTTATATAGTGGTTATTTAAATCTAATTGCTCATATTTAAAATTGTATTATTCCTCCTATCTTCTTTTAGGAAATTATGTATTCCTCAATTGTATGTCTACTCATATTAAAGGCATTAAATAAAAAGCAAAAATACGCGGAGCGATTAACACTAGATTTACGGGTATTGATCGCACGTATATTTATTAATATCTTTCATGTTGACAATTACCTTAAAATACGATTTTTCTTTTAATTAGACTATGTATTCTTGCCATTGCATCAATCAAGTTCAACATAAGTTGTTAAAAAATAATATTTACGCGTTCTGCAATTTTAAATATGGAATCAGATATCCGTCAAATTGACGGCTTCCGTAAATCTAGTGTTAATAAAAATACACCTGGCATTTTGAAATTGCTTCGTTTCACTCGCGAAACAAGCGAGATCGTAGACAGAATTTGTTATCATTTTTTTCTCTCCACAAAAATCAGAACCGCGGTTTGCAAATGCATCGTTGCACTCATGGACAAGCGAAGTTATAGGTAAATACAACCTGTTATAACAATCAACGATATTCTATACAGTTTTTACGCTGTGTTTCACGAGACAACGTATACTATCTGTGCCCGATTGCTTCGTACACAAAAATGTTCTCTTTTTTCATCACGTTAACACTGCATTTGATTACTTCCATATAAAAATACCAAATCATTCAACTTTTCTGTTACCTAAAGACTATATACTACAAAATATATATGAACAAATTGCAGTAAATAGGCTTACATGGAATATCGTGAAGCAATGAAAGAACAAACGATGGGTCAAACTCGAAAATAACGAGCATTCTGTAGTCTCTGTGACCCACAATTTAACAAAATCTGTTCTCGTGTGGAACGTACGAGAGAGCTTTATCTCACTTATGTCAATTGTTCCCTAATCCAGGAGCTACTCGTTTTAAAGTATCTCCATGTACAACGCGCGTCTCCCACGAATCCAGTTATTGCACTTTCGAGCTACTCCCAGGGAATATCGTTGCCCTGATGGCAATTCAAAAGACATTTACGGTCCCGTGCAATATGTAATGTCCGACGAACTCGCGTCCACTCTTTCCTGGGCCAATTTTGGTCCATTACGCTTCGATGTTCCAGCTTTCATCGGTCCTGGCCAGTAAAAAATTCAATTCCAGTCACGTACCGCGCCGCATTTTTAACGAGAACCGCCGCGAACAAGATTTCATGTACGAATTGGATGAAAATTTCATTGATTGCGAAAGATCGAACAAGTTTTAATCCCCGTAATGGAACCAGCTTCTTTCAGAAACAACGGTTCCTATTCTGAGAATAAACTATCGCTCCAAGACGGTCGAAATGGATTATGCAGGCTCTTCGTACGTTTCTAATTCGTCTAATAATCTTTCTTATTACACAATTTTTTACAAGATGAAACATATTTTAAAACCCCAGGAATTATTTTTCAAATATTCATGAATGGAATGGATTCCAATGAAAGTTAACATCGATGCCCTAAAAAATTACCCAATAACATTTGAAATTTGTGTGGTTGTGATACACCTGTAACTCTTAGTATATCTGTACGATTCAGGTGAAACTTTGTTCGACCAATAAAAAGTACGAACCGTTTAATTTGCACGAATATCTATAAAAAAAAAAGGCTAACCCAATGCAACGTTGTAAATCTAACGCCTCGGTAAAATGAAAAGAAAATGCCATAACTCGATCAAAAGAATATCTTGACGCAATCTGAGCCGTCACGGTGGATATACTGGTCGAATATGGAATGCCAAACGTCGGACGAGTGAATGTTCAATTAATTGAAAGTTACCTCGGTCGTGTCAATGTTCCGCTGAAACGGGAGAACTGAAATATTCTCGACGCAATTCGAGGCTAAACGGCGGTCTATTTCGTGGCGGGGAGACGAAAGTTTTTCCACAAACGGTGAAAATCGAACGCTTTCTGACAGGGACGAATACGAGTCGTGAAATTGTCGATCGAGTTTCGCGAAACGGGCAATTTTTTTTTTTTTTAGAAAAGTGCTGGAATCGTGTTGGGTGTCGCGTTAAGTGCCGGATGCGCGCGTATTCCTACAGTTTCCGCGGATGTTGGTCCGCTGGAAAGCGTTTCAGCAGAGACCGCGACAAATTAATGAACACGAGAGCGTTACCAGCGGTAATCGCGAAGATTCGAAGAACCTGACACACTTTTGATGCTATTATACCTCGATCTATCATCGATACACGCTCTTTAACGAACGAAAACGATGTTGAATTGGGACTTTGAATCGTTAGAGATATATTTTCAAGTTGGTCGCAGTTGGAGGATACGTTGCTCGAAGTGGATCGTTAACTAAAACCCAAATCCAATTTTGTTTAAGTGAAGCGATATGCTGCTCAAAATAGATTGACTATCGTTTAAATTAGTATTTCGATGGTTATAAATATTTTGTTTTTAAAAATAAAACACGTTATAGAATTCCATACCGTTTTCTTTTTTTAAGGAGAAAATAACCAAGACTGGATATAAATGTTGTATAAATGTATTGTGGGGTGAAGTGTTCCGTGACTAAAAAAAGTTTATGAAACTTTAAACGGGAATATCATCCGATGATTTCCTTTGAGATCTAAACACTGGGAGTAAAAAGGACGACTCTGAGCAATGTTTAAGATGTTTTTTATCTAAAACACTTAAGGTTACAAAGTTTAACTATATCGATGGTCTGAGTATAAATACATCGATCAGCCTGAGGGCAACAGTATGTAACTTTATGTACGGAAGAAAGAATTGTACTTGAACTGCTGGTGAATAAAATCGTATCGAGAAAAGAGAAAAATGCTTCGCGACCATGTGAAGTATGTGGACGAACTCCAAAATTCATTACTTATTTCTGTATTTTGTATCTGCTAGGAGAAACTGTCCTAGTTTCTTAACGTTAACTTGAGACTGGAAACTATGTTGATTTCTACGATATAAACGATTGCTCCATAAAGAGTTCAATGGAAGAATAACAAAAAGTGAACGATAGTATTTACAGTTCAATCTACAGACATCGTAATAAAAAACAATGAAGTAAAATAAATCAGTTAAATACAACCATTGCAAAATTCCCATCACAAATTTAATGCATTAAAAATGTTTATCATCAAATCACTTCGTTCAAGTTCCCCTGCACTGCCGAAAGAAGGGTCGAAGCAGCCATCGATTTTCGCGACAATTACAGAATTTGCTTCCTCCAAAGTTTCTCTGGACCCCCCCAAGAGTCTGTCGCGTTCGAGTTGTCGGGATTAAAATCGTTAAACCGCGGTACTCACGCAAAGTTCGAACGTCTCGAGGTCCGGGCTTCCAAAGTCCCCCGATTCCAGGAACCGTCTCCGGGTTCAGGGTATACACATCGACGGTCTCACCGGCAAAAACTCGTGGATAATCTCCCTGGACTGTGAGAACGAACAATCGATCGCGACGTGTGAAAAACTTAATCGTAGAATTCGCGTGCGAACGTGGGCCCGTCGGTTTCGAGATTCGTTTGCTGGGCCCGTGTATAGCACTGGCGCGCAACTGGCCGATCGAAGACCTGTCGGAGGGGGCCAGCTTCTCTCGAGGTTTCCACCAAGCGAAGTCGTAGCCGGCTGTTCCCCTCTTCGAGACAATTCTGAGGAAGAAAGTAGGCTTCGCCTGACCCTTCTTATTCCGTGAATCGACTTCACTATTACTTGCTACGAAAACAGAGACCTACTCGAATCGGATCGGGCTTTCCACCTGCCGTGGAAAGTTATAACACATCGCGTTGCCTGCGTTTCGTCGATCGATCCGTCTCTGGATCCATGGCGGATCGTCGTCGACGCGAACGATGCAATTACGCGCCAAACACTAAGAAAACAAACATTCTGAACGAGTATCGTCGATGAAACTGTTGAAATTTATCCTCCTCCGGGTCTGGGATTTAAATATATCGCGAAGAATGAATGTCGGATAATAAATATATATTCTAGACCGCTTTTGTTTGGGCCAGAGTATCGGCAGAGAAGAGAGACATGCTTTCTTTAGAAAATTCTGCACTAAACTCGAAGAATGGCGTCACGAATCTTTTCAGAGGCCATCTGGCGCTTATTGTGATGTCCTGTTCGTCATCGCTATTATCTTTCACTTGTCGTGCCCGATAGATGTAAGTGAAAAGCCGCAAAAATGGGGCGCAAAACAAAGGAGACCAGGAGTGTCTGAAAGAGAAATTATAGTAAACTTGCTCGAACAAAGATAATCGTGAAAACTCATCCATGTAACATTATTTGCAAGACAAAATAAAAAATACAATGGGGGGAAAAGGAGACTACAAGATGCCCTGTTAATGAGCAGAAATGTTATTATGCAGTCAGACAGCCCTAAGCGTTTATTTAAATTGTCTTATTGCAAGAAGAAACTCGTAGGGGTCCTGTAGTACCTCGATTATTGCAGAAAACTAGTTTTGCACAATGTATTCCCTCCATTTGTTTATACATCGAACGTAGCGCGTGTGCAATAATCGAGATTCTAGCGTATTGGCCTCCACTACAAGAAGCGTGAATCAATACAAAATTTAAAAAACTTCTCTACATAGATTATATTATACTAGCAATAATATTTTTTTGATAAATTAATCTCTATTATTTTGTACCCAAAAGGCAGAGGTTTGCGATAAACTAATTACCCAACCAGCTTCACGATTTAGCCACTAACGGAGGCATCCTCTGCTGCCAATCAAAGGGAGTCAGATTGTCTCTAAATCTCAAATTATAACAATGGTAGGCGGTGATCTAATTAAAGCAACTCTCCTCTATTATCCCATACAAAGGACGCCTACGATTACATGGCGAATTTGATCGAGCACCCTTATTGCAATCTCCACATATTCCTCCAACGATTAATATCTATCAAGCATACAAAATCATGGAATTTGTGACATTTGTGATTATTAATTATTTTTTAAACTTATTTCGAGACGTCTATACACTTCTTATAAAGTAATCACTAAATGTAAACAAATTTTGACCATCGAAGACGGGAGAATCGAAACCTTAAGAAGCGATAAAATCGCTAGATCTTTAAAAAATGATAATTTAACGAGCCTCGTGACTCTCTCGATCCGTACGAAGAGATCCCATCGTCAATGGAACGGTCTCGGTGGCGAGGGTACCGTGAACAGAGAAAGTTTGGAAATCTCTGGCAACGATAATTACTCGCCGATTAATTATGTACGTTAGAAATTTTCATGATATTTGCTCCGCGACGGTAAATATTTAAACCGACCCGAACGAAAGGACCTCCTTGTCGAGCGACAGCCACGCGCGGAATGCGTTAGGCGCGCGTGGCATTCGGTTAGGTGCAACGGCCCTTGGAATATCGCGCGACACGTTTCGCCTGTTCCCCGTTAAAGTCGATGGAAAAACGTGTAGCAACCGAAAAAAGCGCGAAGAAAGAAGAAAGAACACTCTGAATCATTTTGAGGAAGATCCATAATTGCCCTGACGCAGAGTAAACTGCGATAAATGAACCAGCAAACCTCGCGATCGATGTTTGCGTACAGTTTATCTCGGCTTGTTTGCAGTATAATTACGTTAAACATTTCCGTGTCAATATTTAGCGTTTGCTTTATACGCATCGACGATGTTTTCACGGTTAAATGAAACAATGTTTCGATCATTTTGTATAGAAACGGACAGTTTATGAATCTCTCTGCGATGTTTCCCTCTCGAAAATAAATCTCTCCGGACAATTTCTCATATCGCTAAAAGCAACGGAGACATTTTAGATTCCAGTCATAGGCGATCCACCCTGTGGATCACACCACAGAGTACGTCATAAAATTTGCCCAGTTGAGCGGTGGACAAGGGACATAAAAGCATTGAAACGGATCGCATAAACGTGTGCTCCGTTAAACTTTATTCTCGAGTTACAACTACTTTTACACTCGGACGATTCTTGAACTGTATTTGTACGTTCGAGTAATTCCTCGTTAATCGGTTATCCGACAACTTTCTAACGAATAAATCCTGCAGGACTCGTTCCACGCGTTCGAAACCACTAAATTTTTACTCCCAGAGCTACTTGGAAGCATTTGTTTGCTCGTTACAAATTGTCGCTGTTTAAAATGCTTCAACGACTCGTAGAGAGAACATTGAGAAACGAGAGAGTATCTGAGAGGCTAGTAATTAGGTCGAAGGTGCGCAATTGCACATTACCCGAGTACAAAAATAGTTATATCTCGGGAATAAGACCGAATATGGCGCATGTTTAGCTCCTTACAACGCGGTTTCTAGCTCAAGGATTGTCATCATGAAAATGCGGCAGTCTGGAAAGGTAAATTACTTGACGCTAAATAATACTTATTTAAATGCATCGTCTTTGGATAAGATTCAATACACAACAAATGGAAAGAGAGGGTGGTTTTCTAGAGAATAACTTTCTCTGTCTGCATAGAATAGCATAAAATATTTGTTCATTGATCGGAATAAATATTAATCGAGGCTGTCTAAGGAACCATACGTCGTAATAATGGAAGAGTACACGCGCGGAAGTATCGAAGAGCGAATAACAAACATAACCGCGAAGCTCCCGTACGCGACCTGTAATTACAATGGCGGTCCCGTTTCGAGAAAGAGCAAAAGAACGCTCGTAGCAGGATACACACGACGCAGCGGCGAGCCTAGAGCGGACAACTTTTGCGAAACGCGCGTGAACTACTTCCACCGTCGCGCCGCTTGCCGTATATTCGCATTCCAAACTTTCTTAAGCAATTATGTCATAACCTGTGCCCCCCTTTTTCCTATCTTCCATATGCCGCGCGCCACCAACCCCCGGCCATCATCCTTGCACGCCGAGAACTTCCACGAATCTTCGCTAGGAAACAACTCTCGATGCACACGTGTTGTCTGTCGACCAGCGAAACAATTTGCAGAGTCACCCGTCTGCGACTGTATGGTACAATCGCCCAGAAACCGTGTCAAGTTAGAACGCGTATCCTGTGATTTTTTTTACAAAATAAATTTTCTTTCGTAATTCAAAAATTTCAAATCGTTCTGAAAAAATTATTTTTGGTAGTGAGGGTCAATTACAATCAGTTTTGGTCAATAGACATACCCTCGAAATCCTACGCAATTTCGAGAAAAAAATCATTACCGAAAATACAATGTCTGACCATGACATTCATGTTTCTCTGAAAATTCATGTTATATGTTCAAAACGTCATAACTTTTGAACGAATTGAGGGATTTTAATCTTTCAAAATGCAAACATCGCGTAAAAGTTTTTCCTTAAATCCGTAAAGTGAGAAAAACTCCATAAGAATGGTCCAATTTTCAAACGATCATAAATCCTACAATAGTAGGTGTATCTCATTGAAATTTAGTCTGAAAGTAGAGCTCATGGGTAGCTACAAAAAAGTATTAAACAACATTTCTGTACAGAGTCAAATGAATTTATTAAAAATGAAAAACGAATTTTTAAGAAAAATCGACAGGGGGTAGGTGCCTAAATTTTCGGTAAAATTGAAAAGCTTCAAATCACTCTGGAAAAATTATTTTCGGTTGCGGAGATCAATTACAAACATTTTTGATCAATAGGTATACCCTCGAAATCCTAACCATTTTCGAAAAAAAATTCCTCACCGAAAATATAATTTCAGGCTAGAAATGTCACTCCACAATTTCTTGCGTATCTTTAAAACGTCATAACTTCTGAACGGATTGGAGGATTTTAAATTTTCAAAATGCAAACAATGCGTATTTTGATGGCGAATGTGTAGGAATTCTAAAAATATTGGAAAAATTGTTCGTTGACCCTGTAAAGTTAGAAGAACCCCATAAAAATGGTCCCGTTTTCAAACAGCCATAACTCCTACAATAGTGAACATACTTCAATGAAACTTTTTTCTGAAGTAGAGCTTACGAGTACCAACAACAAAGTATTAGACAACTTTTCTGTAGCACGTCAAACAAAATTACTAAAAATCAAAAACGAATTTTTAAGAAAAATCGACAGCTGTCTAAGTTTTTCAGCGAAAATAAAAAGTTTCAAATTATTCTAAAAAAATTATTTTTAGTTGTGGGGGTTAATTATAAGCATTTTTGGTCAATAGACATACCCTCGAAATCCTACACTGTTTTGAGAAAAAAATTCGAGTATGTGAAGAAATTTCTCGGTGAAATTAAAAAATTTCAAATCGTTCTAAAAAAATTATTTTTAGTTATAGGGGTCAATCACAATCATTTTTGCTGAATACGCATAACTCCATAATCCAAAACACTTTCGAAAAACAAAATTCTTTACTGTAATAATGTAGAAACGCGTATCAATTTAAATTACAGCAAATAATTTCGGCATAACACGCCAGGTATTATTAAAACGAGCGTCTGGAAACGACATAAATAAGTTCGTCTGGGCTTTTGTCGGTTCAAATTCTTGAAGAATTACAAGGTGCATAATATATGCAACCCAATTAAAGCCTGGCCTCGTTTGACTTTTTTTCTGAACATTTTCTCGTGTCCATGTCAGAAACAGAGATACGTATTCTGTTTCTGGCGAACCACCAGATAATTTTATGCATACTATCTTAATTCATGAAAGTTAGAATTCACGACAAAACATTTTAAAAATTATTCTATGTATCTATCAAAGAAATCTCTATTATTACAAACTCGGTGGGTTGATTTTTATCAGGGTTAACTTTAAAAATAAATTTATAACATTCCGAAATTTATGTCACGATAAGACGACAACCCTGATCGGGAGCAGAAAGTGCAGTAACGGTTTTCGATGTCTGGGAACCGGTAGGATGATTCGGAACTTCCGGGTGGTATCACTCGTTTATCAGATTTCGTTTCGTCCGGACGAACTCCGTTCAAGTTTCCTCAAGTTTGTCGCCGCGAATCAACCTGACGCAAGACCCGAGTGGTGATCGTAAAGTTTTTAATTAAAATCCCTAATGATCGAACGGTGTCTCGACGGGCTCTCGACCGCGAGGTTTATTCACTGCGTCGACGAAGTTTCAGATCGAACTGGTTCGAAAATTTTTGCGCCAAAGGTTCGCGACTTTCTTCTTGCTCTTTCAGCCGCTGAAACGAGTCTGAGCACCCATCGCGGCAGAAACTGACATAATTACCTGTCGGGTAAGGAAATTGCACGACGCGGGTATTACACGAGACAACGTTACGAAAATATGATCTAGAGAGAGAGGGACAGAGAGTCGATCGAGCGTAACGGTGCTAAATTGATCGCTGCACGGGTCACTTCACGCTGAATCGATCACTTTTCTGTTCGATGTCGGCGATTTTATGCGAATTGCGATATTGTATATTGTGGTCCATGTAAAAATAAGGAGGGTTTAAGTCATGAAAATTTCGAGCTCAAACGCCCGTGAATTACTTGGTTACTCAATCCGCCTTCATGCGCGGATAACAATCGACCCACTTATCGAGATCAGCACTCGCGACTCCCCGTGCGCTTTAATAATCGGTTTGTCGAAGTTCGGGATTAATTAAATTTTAATATCTGTAAACGAGGATAACTTAGAAACTTATTAGTCGTAACGATCACGAGAGATTTGCGTGTGAATTTTGCTCCGTACTTTCCCTTTTCTTTTCTTTTAACGGTTTATCGATACTTTCGGTGGGAGAATCTGGTAACATGCGAAATGGCGATTAGTTTCGATACCTGTTCGATTCGAAACTCGTCAATCGCCACGTATCAGTATTAATGAGCGTGTCGTGGGATTGGTTCTATCACTAGTCACTTGGGACATGACTCTGATCAATGATGTTTCACTAACGTCGAAATTGATCGATGTTGTGTGATACGTACAGTCATAAATAACCAGTTACATGACAGAAATAATACAAATGGAACCGTAGGTGTAGAACAAATTAATCATATTAGGGATACATAGATTCACCGTGAGAATACAAATAAAAAAATCCTCCTCCATCTTGCGACTCGAGTCTTTGTTTTTGAAATACGAACTGTACAAGGTTCGGGGCGCGAAATTCAAATCGCGAATAACGACGCGCTTGCGCGCACGTTACGATCCCATCGGTGGACTTAAAATCTCCTCCTGGTTTCACTTGTGTTTCGAATTTTAAACGCGTAAATCAACCCTTCGATGGGTAGCAATTTCTTATGTCATACTGACATTAGAAGATTACGCTTTTTCCCACGTGTGTATCGGTGAATCGAAATATTTGCACACAGTGCCCATTGTATGGATATTATTCATCATCCTTGTACAATTAAATATACAATGAAACGCTATAGGATAGTAATTCGTGCAATTTATTCGTTAATTCACTTCCTTGTACGTAAATGAATTTTGTACCGCAAATCGATGCTATTATTTGTTGTTACATCGTGGAGGATAAACGAGATAAGCGACAGAATTTTCTCAGGGATGTAACATATATTACCAACATTATCCGTTATATGTTCGTAATTATGGCCGTTTATAAGCGAATAAACATATTTTTGTAACAATATTGTATACCTTTCGTGATATTTATCGTAAATGAAAGGGGTTCTTCGATTCAATTAGTGTAGAATAGCGATACTATGAACTCCAGATATTCGAACATGATATGGATACGCAAACGGGGAAAGGGGAAACAATACTCTGCAAGTTTCGTCGAGTTTAACGTGACTAGGATGACCCTTTAAAGTTTGCACAACATCCTCTAGTTTCCTCCGCTGAATATTCGAATATTGCATTCACGATCGTAGCAAACTTGAAACTTTAAATTTAAAAAATTCATTGCTCTCGATTAAACACTGTTTAACTAAAAATGCACGAATACAAATTTCGTTAAGGATTCGCTTAAGAATACAACGAATAGAAACTGATTCCTCGATTCCTAAATTCGATTAATTCTGAAGTTCGAAAAGCAGAACAAAGCCACCCGGAGTGATTAAATGTTATTCCAAGGGAGGGCAATAAATCTCCCGGAGCCGTCGTGAGCACACGAGTGCCAGGAAGCACAACTAAAACGTCGAGTTTGAGTTTTCAACGGGTGGATAACGGATGATCATCGACCGCGAATTCTCAGCTTTCCTCCTTTCCCTCTTTCTCGTTCGATCGCAAGTGTGAAACCGTCGGAAGTCAAGTTCACGTCGTGAGATCCATCCATTAGCTCCGGGCAAACCGCAATCGGTTGCACTTGGCAAAAATGCTTAACGCCTCGTGAAACAGCCAAGCGATCCGTGTCGTTCCATTTCGACACCGAAAGAGAGACGCTCTTTCGACACTGAGATCATCGTCGACCACGAATATATTGCGTACAGCCGGAAACGGACGTATAAGATAATGGAAATAAACCTCGATATCGCGACCCCACCGGCGATCGATAAAAGGAATTAAAAATTTCGCAAATTTATCTGCAGGAAAATAAGAAATACAAATTACAATATCTGGTGAAAACGATAAATTGTTATTTCGCTTGGAAGAAGATAATTTTAACAGCGTTTGGAAATTTGGGAATTGATTTAGTATGTGCAGAGTTCGTTGGCGAATAGTAAACGCTTTGTATGCATACCGACTATAATGCGTTCGTATTTTTATGGTTAATTAATCGTGCAGTTTGCGAAGCCCCGTGCCGGTAACCTACTTTTGAGGCCAATAAACGATTTCTTTGGTCCACTTAGAAGCCGCGCGCGTGAAAGAAGAGCACCGGCGAAATGGGTCTTCCGCTGCAAAACAGACAGTGACATTTGTCACTCTATTTATCTAATGGCATCGAACGAATTGGTAATTTATTCCGCCGAGAACAGAAGCCACGACCGTGACTGCGCAAATAATTTAACGTCCAGTGTTCGAATCTAATCGATCGAACTTGAACACTCGTGCATTATTGCACCATTACAATTTTAAACATTTTTAAGTTCGTCAGAAACTTTGAACCATTACTCATCATAATGGTACAGCTTCTCCTCTACCCAATCATCGAAATTATTCACTTTCTCCACCCAAAAAAAATATTTTCCGTATCACAAACTCATGCTAAATAAATGATAAAAGTCTCAATCAAATTGAGTGTACCGTTTTCTTGGTACCATTTTCCACCTAAAAAAATGACTACATTTTAAGACGAATTAATTGATCTTGGACCGCCAATTAATTTCAAACAAACTACGTCCACTACTCGAAAAGCCACTTACCTTGAAATTAGGTTTCTAGGGGAGTATCAGTACACATGATCGCGTTATATTGCCACTTTGCAATGAATGCTTTTAATAGATCTCGATCTGTTCGTCTGCGCTCTATAATCAATGTTCTCTTCTGTGTCTTCGACGGTGCCGCGCTACAATGACAAGTGACCGTAATAACAATAATTATAATAATAATGACGATGGCAATAATAATGATAAATGCTAACAATACTCATAATAAGAATAATTTAAGTCGTTGACTGTAAAAGTGGCTCGATTGTATTGCTCCCCGAATTTCGAAGGCGTGTTTGGAGCGACGCAGACTCCTCTATTAATTTGCAAAACGCTTCTAAGTCCCTCTAAAACGCTACTCAACGACGAATAAATTTCTTTCTGTACCCCCTCCCCCCCTCTTCCCCCCACCTCGTACACGCGTGCGCCATTTTACAATCAAACGTGCCCGTTGCGCAATGATGCTACTCATCGTTTCGTAACACGCGGTGCATGTAAACAGAACGTACTGCTTTACGGAGGCGGGTGCAATAATTATCCATTTTTTTTTCTTTTTTTTTTCTTTTGCGTATTACCTTTGATTTCGATCCGGCGTGTTAATAACAAAGCGTTCTTGTAAATATGTATATAGTATATATAAATACGCGTGACTTCAATACTCATTGGTTTTTGTTCGCTGACTAGCTTCCTATGTTTCGTTGGCTCGTTTCTTCGCATGGGCTCGACTCGAATTCGATGTCGTCTATCGAAATCAAAAGCAACGAACAACGAACGACTAGCTCTTACGGTGCAATTCGCTCGTAGCTAGATCCCACGGGGCGATCTGTTTCGATCCACGATCCGTTTCACGATTTTGTGAAGCAGGTTTGCTAGAAACGGAGGCGTCAAGGACACTTCAAGGTCGTTTGAAGAAACAAAATTGCGTGGGTATTTAAGGGGAACCAAAAGGAACGAGGGCAGCGAAGATAATGAAAGACTACTTTGAGGTTAAGAGCACACCTCAAATTGTCGATCGGGGTCATCGAACTTGGACGTAAAGATGCGTGGGTGCAAAGTGTGGGGAAAGTCGTGGAGTCGGTTGATTTATTTATGAAGGTGGCGAGCAACGTAATAGGATCCCAGAAAGGATGATTCATCGGTGAAGGCTAGTAGGGCATTTCAAGGTCATTCTTTTATATCGCACTATTTTGTTATTTTCAAAAACGTCAGCTTGGTAGGACGAGCGACAACTGACTGATAATAAACAGTATTTTAAATCGAGTCATTACTTAAATTTGCAACTGAATTGTGTACCTACCCCTGTGAGACTAAACGAGTGTAACATATTTATTAAATAGATTAAGCTTCGTTGTTCGTTTCCAAAATATATAACTAATACTCGAACCAATATGTTTGCCACATTTAGAATATTTGTACTTCTTTTCTTACCCTATTCTACCCCCTAATACAAATGACCTTGAAATATCCTCAGCCCAAATCTTTCAAATTGCTATTGATATTTTGTGACGTATAATTTCGACCTCCCTCAGCTTCCTAAAGATTTTTTCCACCTGCTTTTCGGGGAACGTGATTCGTAAATTGAAACAAGTCATCCCGTGTGCATTCTACCACTAAACGTTCGCGTGCTTCGCGAGGCAAGCGAAGTTCTACGGCGTTTCGATTCAGGCACGAGTGCGTGTAACAATTATTTCGAACGTCTCGAGGATATCAACGGAGGACGCGTGCCACTCGTGCATGCATCGGGACAACGACATCTCGCCACGATTAAATTCGAGCGAAAAAGCAGTCCTCTGGAACCATTTCTCGGTCGAACAAACGCGTCTTCGAGTCTTCTCGCGACATTACACTATTCTTTTCTCGTTCTCACACGCTCCTCTCTTTGAAAATCTACGCTAAGGACTAGGATAATAGGATAAATTGAACTGCACGCAATCAACAAGCCGCTCTGCGTCCAAAAAGGAGCGGGGCAAACTCTATTCGCGTGTAACGAATACAAACGTTTGGATCGATTCGTAGACTAGTTTTTGTTTATTTTTTATTCGTTGGTCGAAACTTTTAACCGAACAGTTTGCCCAACTCCGAGCTGGACCATAGTCTGATTCCCGCCAGCGCTCAAACAACGATCAAACGACTATAAAAATTTCTGTGTGATGTTTGCAACACGAGAGACAGTCTTTTCTTCTATAAAATGCATTTTCATGGCGGTGGTGCTCTTAATTATTAATTTACGCGATAGGAAATGGGGAATGGATATTTTTCTACAAAGTCTGATCACTGAGTTTGAACTCTATATGAGAATGGTTCCCGATTTTATTAAAAACAGCCTACAGGTGTAGGAAATACTGATGGCGAATGCAAAATATTCAGAATTTTGTCTAAAATATTGATTGATAGATTTTCCTAAAACCTTTCAATCAACAAGGAGATACTGGTGTCTATGTAAAACAGTGAGATAATTATGCTATCCGATGAAGGTGAGCGTTGAGTCCCTTGAGAGCTAGTAGAAATCAAACATCATTTTCTCATCGACTCATCCTTTCCTCTACGAAAGTCTCTCCGACCGGATGTGCTGGATCTCGAAGAGAGTCAGAATTTCATCGCGAAAGTCACAGATGGTTAGACGCGCGCTTCAGATCGCGCGACCCCTAATTATCTAATACGCCTAACTTAAACGTAAGTAATACGAAACGTACAAGCAAGATCTCTGTTTTATACGAGGACACGGTGAACTGGCCTCGAAAGAAAAGGAGGCTCGAGAAAAATGGCTACCCGTCTCGTGGCTGCTCTGTTCCCTGAAACGAGCTCACGATCAATCAACGTCGTCGTCCATAATTGATCGACCGTCTCGAGGAATCTTCTCACTTCGGACGCTTCAACAAATCGATCTTTTTGCACTCTCTTAAAATGTTTCTGTAAAACTATCGAAATTATTACCCTTCAAATTTAAATTACAACTCAGTGTCATATTTCTACCATGATTGATGTCTCGAGAATTTTAGTAGAAAACTAATTGAAATTATAATGTACAAGAAATTTTTAGGTGTCTCGTGGGTCCAGATTATTTTCTGTGACGATGTGTGCATCGACTTTCTGGCTATAAAAATTCTAAAACCCCACCATGCATCTGACGAAAACGCGTGTAAAATTTGAGAAAATTCAGACTTGTATTTTCCTTGGAAAAAATTCTCGAGTCCCCCATTTTTCCGAAGCGAGGAGGTCCCTTAAACGTTCCTCGACTTCCGGATGCTTTTCTCGAGATTCATTTCCTTCGTTCCCGGCGCGTAAACCGTTCACCGGTGTCCCCGGGACTATTAAATACAATATTACTCTCTATAACTGCATAAATACTCTGTCGTCGCTAAATAGTATGCGGTGTAACGTGGCTCTCGTATCAACTACTTGCCGGATGTTCATCTTGGCAGACGGAATCTTTACAAGTTTTTTTTCGACGCGGTTGTCGTCGACGTGTCGCGTCGAACAGGCTATAAAATTGTATTGTTCTTCGTGTGTTACCTTGCCCGTGCAACGAAACGCTCGTATATCGTTTTGTTAAGTCGCGTTTCCTAGTTACTCGGTGTTCGCGGCGTGAAAAATGTCGATCGCGTGGATAAGAACGTAGTTTGGATCGTCGACGCGATCGACTTGCTCTCCGGTATTTTTTTTTCTTTATAGAATTATGATCCTTATAGTAAATGGTACTTATATTTATAATTACTTTGGTATAGTCAGTTATGTAACACTAGAGTCCGCGTTGTCTGTAGGGAATTCGTATCCAAAGATTCGTGTTCAGAGTTCCGCCTGCAGAACCCTGGAAAAACAACAGTTTAAGTGACGTACACGATTTGGTACAATTATTAATCTTTTTGGCAAGTTTGTTTCTTTATGAGAATATTATCCAAGACTGGTTTATCAGTTCACTGTTATAATATTTCTACGCTGGAACAAAATCTCACTTCATACTTCAACCATGAAAACAAGTAAAAGAAGAGTTCAAAATAAAATTATTATCAACTAAGAGTTTTCTACTATCGATATAATTAGAGCATAAACGCGTTCTTGTGGGAATTGGATATAAATCAGTGACAATGCGAGTGGGGAATTTTTAATACTCTGCTTAGTATTTAACAGTCAGGGAGCTTTCTCTCGGCGTTAACTGGGACAAAATTGAGGACAGAAATTTTTGTTCGACTGAGTAAAGAGCGTACGCGTATCGTCGAGAGTTCTGTGACAGATTTTGAAAGGTAATTACCTGTCATTGCTTAGCGGACTTGTACCTAGCAAGTTTCAATTGCACCGGGTTAGAGACTTTCACGTGGACCGCGATATCCTCGACAGGCGCTTCGCGAACGTCTTGGCCTCCGACTGCTACCACTCGATCACCTTTGCAGATTTTACCACTTTCCAAAGCGCTTCCGCCAGGTAACTGTAACACCGTAATTTATACATCGTTACGAAAATTACTGGCTAGCCACAAATTAACTCCTTCCCGTGACATTTAGCTCGTAAACAGACTAAACTGATGCTAAACTGCTTTGTAACAGAGATTATAAAAATCGTGACCAACTCTTGTGGCGTACTGATAGGAGCTAAAACTCAATAACGATCGTCATTTGCTGTCCGCGAGCCTGGCTCGTGATGTTTACGTTTGGTTCGACTTTCTGTTCGCGAGTCTGGCTTGTGGTATTCATGTTTGGGCCAAAATCTTCATCACGAGTCAGACTCGTTAAAGTACGGGAAGGGGTTAATATTCCTTTGATCTGTGTTATTACAGAGAAACGACTATATAAGCCTGCATTGCTACAAGGTGAAATGTTTAGGTAAATCAAGGGAATCGAAGCAGTATTATTTATTATACACAAAATTCTTTTATACGAGATTTCTGAATGGGTAAAAGTGTTTGGTGTCTGTAAATATATGAAATTATATCCTACCAAATCCGATACGTATGCTCCTTTGCCACCCTTGTATCCCGTCAAACAGAGGCCAGCTCCTTTGCCGGATTTCTTCTGCAGCTCGACTTCGATTTCCTCTTCTGCTTTTTCGTGTCGATGCACCACCATCGTGATCTACGAATGAAGATTCAGAACAATCGATACACGTCCACGAAGGCTGCAGAGACCTTGCATTGATATAACTCATTAATATTCCGCTAATTTCTATTAAATTTCTATTAATAATCTTGGAGAATCTTTTATATAATTTTATCCGCTGTTAAAAAATTGGAATCATATTTATAAAATGGGAGAAATGTTACTAACAGTTCCTGCAACTTTCAAAACAGTCGCGTGTGCCTTCTCGTGCTCGATCTCCTTGAAACTATTAGCACACATATCGAGTATTTGGTCGCCAGCCTGCAGTCGGCCATCTTTGCCAGCTGCGCCGTCAGGAAACACTTCGATGATGAATACTCCTTTCTGGAATGGAACAATTATTGCTTGAAAATTGTCAACACTCATTCACAAGACGACATATTTAAAAAAAATAATATTATTAATCAAACTTGCTCATGGGCAACTTTGTAACTTTAAACAGTAGTTGTGCAAACTTAGAAATATTATTTTAAAACGGATCTTACGCATGGCGTGTCGGAGCCACCAGCTATAGTAAATCCTATGCCCTTGTCTTTTTCCTTCTGGAACTCTATTGTCGTGTCCCTTCCAGCCACGATCTTGCAATCTTTTGGATCTTGGGGTGGTTCAGGTTCCTTCGGTTTCTCAGGTTCTTTCGGTTTCTCTGAAATATCGTACACAGTTCCACAACCATGTTCTGCAATTAATTTATCATAGGTGAATTATTTTCTCAACCTTTCTCAGGTTCTGGAATAATGCCCTTTGCCCTGTCCTCCTCTTCCTTTGCAACTTTACTCTGATTCGGATTGCACACTGTCAATGTAACGACCCCCTCTGCTTTTTTCAAGAGACTGGTAGCCTGCGCATAAAAACGAGTACAAGAAATACACTGGGGTACTGTAACCAATCGCCTATAATAATTTCAAGAAACAGGATGGACCAGTTATTATTCCAGGCTATAAGATATAATTAACAAAAAAGTTTCCTAACGACGCAAGCTATAAAATCGAAATTTGAAAATAATAGAAGCACATAGTCGATGTACGACTATTACCTCGTCGTAAGTGGAACCCAGCAAACAGTCCCTGTTAACAGCCAGAATCATGTCTCCCACATTCAGGCCAGCCTATAAAGATGCAAATGGCTTTATGTTCAAGAAAATACAGCTGTTCGTCTATACACTGCTATTTCGTGTATAATTGACGAGCGATGGGAATCGTTTTGTTTACGAATTAATTACCTGCTCCGCGGCGCTGCCTTCCTGTATATCGGAGATGAATATACCTTGGCCGACCTCAGCGTGTTTTCCTTCGATGATCATTATACCTAGTCCGTACTGACCCTACACGTTGGAAAACCCTCATTGTAGTAATCGAAACGCTTCAAAGTACGTTCTACTCGGTAACACTTGCCTTTTTCACGGGCACGCTGCGTACTCCTTTATAGTGACTGAACATTTCCGACTGCGACAGAAGAACAATAATGAATCCTTTCGGAGCAAATGGCAGTTTTCAGTTGTTTGTCGTTTATGGAAACGGTCAAGAAGTGACTTTAACGTGGGAAGATTTGAGAAAGAAAGAGCAAACAAAAGGATTGCACGAGAGTAATAAAGAAGGAACGAAGAATTAAATTTGCCTGAATTTGAAGTATATAGAAATATGGATGTATAAGTTTGATCTACCAAGGGTCAGAACAGTTCTATTTGAATGGTTAGAAACTAGAAATGACATTGAAATCGAGACTCACGTCGTCCAAAGTCGGAGGAAATTGAACGATCGGTTTGACAGCAAGTTGATCAATGCCTGCACTCCTTCTGTGGACATATTATTGTATCTAAATCGATTTTCCTCGATATGGGAGACCCCAAGAAGAAAGAAACCACTTCTTACCGTATGACGACAACCTTGAAATATGTACCAGCCATGCCTTTGATGCGAGCTGATGCGTTTAGATGACATCTTCCTTGCAGAACACAGCCGTTTACCTGAAAATGTTTAAATCCATATCCCAAGATATCTAAAATGATTTTATTTTTTTATGAATAAACAATTGTAATTGATAGAAATAAACAACGTCATAAATTGTTCAGTCAACATAGAGCCTTGAAATTGATACTCAGGATGTATATAGTATTGCATATAATTAAGATTCTGCGTTGAAGAAACATTTTGGAGTAGTGAAAAAAGAAAAATGGCGTACCTCAAGTATCTCATCGCCAACAGCTAGCTGGCCACCTTTAAACGCTGAACCCTTCGGATTAAGGCCACAAATGAACACTGCCATCCGATTTCTGTCTTTGTGCCCGGAGAGCGAAATGCCCAAACCACACCTGTCTTTCTCCACTTTGACTAATAGCACTTTGTGTCCCAGCGAGTGATACTTCTTTTGAACTTTCACTGCGAAGAAATATGCGTCGTTGCGTTATGCATACGTGCACCAAATACAACCTCCGTTGATCAAAAAGAAAAATATACTTTTGGGAAAGCGAATTTTCGAATAATTATTTTCTCTACAAGCGAGAACAAAGTACCATTTTGTTTTTCTATCGTTTATTTTGATATTCCAAACTTGAAAGTATTGCTATAATTTATAGGAGTGATACTTTTGATGGCTTTTGGAAATATTAGAAGTGTATAATTACGTACTGCTCGTGTACCCGAATTCGTCTTCCTGTTCCGGATCCGCTTCGATCTCCTGCTTCGAACGCTTCACGTTCCCGGCGCTTTTCCTCGAAATCTAAAAAATGTATTTCACCATTTCGGTCACCGATACAAATTAGGCTCGAGATTCGTGACGATTTGGTAGTCAAATTACCTCCATGCCAGTTTTGGTATAAACGTTTCCCTCGAGATCTCTGGTGTCCTCCTCCTCCGAGCTCTCGTCCGAAGAATACTTCCGTCTCGGTGTCTTGTCTTCCGCTTTCGAGGCATGATCTTCCTTCTCTTCGCTCACTTCTCGCAATATTCCCGGATTGGAAGGCGGTGACGGCGCCTTCTTTCGAATCGACTTCTTCATGGAGGATCTGGAGCGAGAAATAGGTCCTCAGCCCCTCACTCTGCGATATCGAGACTCCCAAACGCAACGAAAACGAGTCATATTCGCGGTAAAATTAATATTCGAGCCTCAACCCCTCATTCTGCGATGTCGAGATTCCCAAACGCAATGAAAACAAGTCATATTCGCGGTAAAATTAATATTCGAATTTTCCCCAAATATGGCGGAGTCGATTCGATCGCAAGAAGAAAACTCTTATAAGAACGTTTATAAGTCCAGTGAATTACCTTCTCGCACTGGTTCCCGCGCCATCTGAAGATCTTGTACTTTGTCTTCTGAAATCCGACCTCGAGCTACTCTGCTTTTCTTCGTCCTCGAGTCCTCCCTACCAAAATAGAGGAAGATAAACGCGTGATAGTTTGTTCGTCCAGCTCGAATCTTGGAGGAGTCACTTAACCCCAATCTCACCGAGCTTCTTTCGGTTCACAAATAACACCACGTTCTTAGGGTTAGTCAAATAAATGTTACAACTCTAGAGGGAGGGGGGAGGGGATCAAAGTTTGATACGATTAGGGTTGAGGGCCAAATCATACTTCTGTTGTGGGATCAACGTCAAGTACAGGCAAGTCAAAGTAAACATTTCTTCTATGTTCGTGTTAGACGTTAAAAAAAAATTACAATTAAAAAACTAAGCATAATTTAATATTGTTAATAACGAAAAAACAATCGAAACACTCTTATGTTTCAAAGGAAATTTTAAATAGACAATAGGTACATTCCGGAATCCATGGTAGTAAGTTGCGACGTTGGTGACCCAATGAACGATCTTCGCGTAAGCTTTGCACACACTTTGCTTCATTTTACGTTTCTATACCGAGTGGCAGGATTCATCTTTCACGGATAAAGTTAGAATTCGCTATCGTACGGGCGTTTACGAGAGCCACGATACATCGAATCGCGAGTGCATATCACTTCCGAGAAACGCGGGAGATTATCTAAAATTGGGTGCGCTCGCCTAAGCGTTTTAATCGTGAATTTCGACCGCGATACCGCGCTTCGATGCGCAATGAAATTGACTGACAACGGGATCCGAAACGTTCCCGCAGCCCGAAGTCGTAACAATCGATTCCGTTGACCGAATTAATTTACATCGAACACAATCGAATGACGTTTCTTTTCCATCCATTGACGATCAAGGTCTCTCGTCTCTCGCGACGCGCGATGAAACGAAATGTACTCCTGGACGATTAGTTCTGCACGAAATGTGTTCACTCTCGCGAAATTTAAATGCAGAAACTACGAATCAATGCAATTTTTATGTGGGTACTCAATTTAAAAGATTCTAAAGACAAATACAAGGCGAAGATCACAATGGCGAAGCAGCATTCGAGACTTTGACAAAGTAAAAGATTTCTGGATCCAGTAAGGGAGATACAGAAAAAGTTTATTTAAATTTTTCATGCAGAATTTAATCCTCTCTAAGATTCGTTTCAAGCATTTTTTAAAATTTTGACAAATAAAGCATATATGTTATTCTTGGAGAGGTGATGTTTCGATTCATTTTAATTCGCCTGGATGGTTGAATAAATTCTTTCTGCTCGATGAGACAATGTTCAACAAATTTTTTAACGCAAGTGGATTCAGTGGACCAGTTATTTTTCACGGTTTAAAAATTATTATCCTCATACATACGGGTCCAGAAATATTTTTTAAAAGTTTCGAAAATTGTCAAGTAGGATACATTAGTGGATTATAACTCTCGAGAAACTGGAGTGGATGGTAGCCGCGGGGGGTGAAAAGAACAATGTTGGAGAAAGGAAACGACCCACCTGTGTCACTTCCGGCGTGATGGACCTGGCTGGCGAGACGGGCGACGCTTTTTGACGAAAGGATGCCGTAGGTGTCCCTGGAGCTGCACTGGAGGCAGGCAGACGGTTCCTGGTGCTCTGCCTCCTTCCTGGTCTGCCCCCGTCGTCGCCTTGTTCCTCGTTCTCGTTCTGAAAGTCCAACAAACACCGACAGTCGCGTCAATATCGTGCAACGACGCGAAAACGACGAAGAACCCCTTGGAAAACTCACTGCGTCGCCGAAACTAACAATGGAACCTGGATCTGGTCAAGGATCTATACATCCAAGTCACAAATCAATTGTTTCTTATTAGCTCGATCGACCGTTTTTATATCAATTTTTACACTGTGTTTTTACACTGGGAGTGAGAGACGTGGCAGATTCTAATGACAGTATTAAGGGATGGAGAGTTTAAATTTAGGTGAACCTTGTTGCAAAATATTAGACGAAATATTAAGAAATCATCGAGAATAGTCATAGAGTTCATCGTATATAATCATTATCTCCATTTTGAAAGGTGTGTTACAATTTTTTAACGTCTACTTTGAACATTACACTTTAGTTAAGATATCAAATAGATCGTCACTTAAATATGTATCTTTCTAAATATTGAAGAATGTCATTGTACAGTGATCGAATCGTTAACACAATCTCCACTATAAAAGGTGTGCTCGTGGATACGAATGCCGTGTTATTGTTCTAGAACACCGATAATTCAGTAATAATTATTCGTTCTTGTGTTACTCAAATAAAACAAATGCATTCGTATACTCCTAATTCAATGGAAGTGTTCCAATTCATTTGATGTTCCGCTCAGTTTTACTGTGTTTCATAATAAAATACACAATCTCCACTATGAAATATGTTCTCATAATTATCCACATCCGATATATTTCAACGTAGAAATGATTAAGAAAAAATTCTGATAGTTCCACCGATGAAAGAACGATCCAAATCACGTAGCACGGTTCACTTAGTGGATCATCCATCCCGATAACACTGTCGTTGATATCCTGGATTCTCGCGTGTCTTGCCTGCACCGTCCACATTCTACTTACTGACGGTACCAGAGTTCCCTCGATCCCGGGATCGATCGTAATTTTTTTTTTTCGGTTCCTAGAATACACTATTTCGGTGGTCGATGTAGGAGCCAGAGTAAACCGTTCGAATTGAATTACTACGCGGGTGAAACGTTCGCCGGTAACGTCTTGAATTGCTGCCAGAACAACTGTAATTTAACAGCGTGACGCGTCCGATTCCATCGATCCAATCGGCGGTAACAGTGAGTTTCCCCGCGGGCTGCCGCTACAAATTCCTGGGAAACGTGATTAATGCGTGTTATTAGATCTCAGGTTCGCACGAGACTCGCTGCGCATTCCACTGACTGGGCTCAAGGATCTCAGACGTAACTTCTATCTTTCGCATGGCCGGTTTCGTTACGCGTGGTTAGAGATCGGAGACAAATGGCAGACGGGACGGATTAAAGGTCCGTTTATACACGTCCGTGTCGTGTCCGTTCTGTGTCTGAATCGAACCCCGAGCGGTAAAGCGTCACTATTCATATACAACCGGACAACGTCCGTGATATGATCGAAAAAGTGAATTAGTTTGAAATCAGAAAAAAGAAGAAAATAATGTAAAACAACGAAAGAAGAAAAGACGTATTACCGTACATCCCTTATGGCGAAACCGTGAAACGAAAGGGGAATTTAATATTTATGAGAAATTAGTAGATCACGAAGACAAATTTCACCAATATTTTAGGATGACAAAGCATACATTTAATGTTATGCTTGATAAAATTAAACAACAGATATCCAAACAGTATGCGAATTGGAAAAGCCCTATTTCTGCAAGAGACCGACTGGTAACGGACGGGACACGTCTAAACACGTTTATACAAAACCGAGCGATTTCCTTGACCTTCCGTGATCAGACCATGAAGCAAAAAAATATCGGAGATCATCAATTGCTGACGTTACCCATCCGAGTCCCGGTCGGTAACAAACACGGCACGGACGATGTATAAACTGTTTCATATGAAATTACGGTACCGTTTCGTGTCCGGAAATCGGCCGGAACACGGAACGGACTCGATACGGATGTGTATAAACGGACCTTAATTCGGGGTCATTCCACGTCGAATCGATCACTGTTAGCGAAGAAATTGAAACCGTCGAACGGAAATATCAATGATCGTCGACCCTTCGTTGACGGCCATTTTGGAGAACAGATGTTTCGAATTAAAACGGGTCTCGAAAGTTCAAAAATTTTATCGAAGCTATGGATTGGAAGGATTAAAGGCTACTCTTTGCGACTGTGAAACTTGATACAACTTGTACACAATAATTTAATTTCACGATTCAAATTTTATTGGGAAATAATATTGCCTGACATTGGCTTACGTAACATAGTGCCATTAATCATGCTCTGTCCACAAACATTGAATCGTGCAACACGTGGTCTTCACCTTCAGAACGAGACCATTGTTTCACGTTTCCAACTGATAAAACAATGAAGAGGCGTATAAATTTATGTTCAGTTTGGTGTGAGAATCACATTGAACGTAATTTACTGATTCTTACCAATGTCAATGCTTCCCTACTGCAATACAGAAATAAATATACTAATTATATTTTATATTAATATAAAAATAAAAAAATACTATTGTTCTCCTTTCTTAAACTTTGTTATTATTTATTTTATCGTGATAGAAATTATCGTCCAAGGTTAGCTTGAAGAGAACAATTTATTTTTATTAATTCCTTTATCTTTCGTGGTTTAGGAAGTTTGTAGATTTTTTGGAATGACCAAACGCTTATTTTTCCCCGTGAATTTTGTTTCTTTGCGCGATATTGTGAAAAATAAACCTTCGCTATCGGATGCCGATCCTCGGGCTGACTCAGAATCATAACATTACTGATTTGCTTACATAGGGAACGTAAACACTCTGTTAGAAAAGATTCTGGAATTGTTAGAGTGGGAAATACACTAAGTGTTTCCGTAGATAAAGATCTGAAACTTCGACTTCAATTTTTAACGAATTCCAAATTAACGAAACGATGACCCTAATTTCGTCATCGTGTTTCAATTAAAACGAGATTCCTCGCATCGAACGCAAAATTGTATCGATTTAGCGTGGAATGTCCCTTTGATCTAGACTTTGTACGCCGTGCAAATGATCGAATTAAGTATTCCAGTCACAGTCTATACAGGGTGTCCCGCATTGGACGGTACTTAGAAGTCAGAATTCGAAGTGGTTGAATCATAAAAAAAATATAATTGCTACAATTTCAGTGATCCCCTTTCGATCGAAAAATAAAATCCATGTAAACGTACGCAAATAGGTGAAGGAACCAAAAAAAAAATAAATAAAAAAATCATTATGGTAATATCAGTGCTACCGATTGCATTATACTTTCAAAATAACACGTTATTAATTCAAGATACAAAATCCCCTGCGTCACGCATTTTCAGACGTTATCAGCCACGGTTCGATAAAAAATATATACATTATTTAAAATTCTATTCTTTTTTCTTTGCACCGAACGATTCTTGCCAACTCACACTTTACTTTGGGAAGTTTGATCCAGTATATTTCACCGAGAACTAATTTTATTTGAAAGAATCGCGGAGGAGCGAAACAAAATAGTCGAATCCCCGGAATCTGGATAAATTAAAAATTCTCAGGGAAACGCAATCACTGAGTCTGATCGTCTGGCCTCGTCCCTGCCCACTCACTTATCCACGCTCGAGCCACTACCTCGGGGATCTCGTTAAAACTCGTCCAGCTGTGCCTTTACGAGCAAACGTGGTCACTGATATCTCTCGAGTCGTCTTCCGCGCGAGTCGAACCCCGAAAGTCGAAAGTCGCGTGTCTTCGCGCTCGAAACCGCCCCAGATAACGATTCGTAACTCTATTTTGCGTGTGGGAGTGTGGGTGTGTGTTTTTATGCAACGTACAACGAACGAGACGCATTTACGTCCAAAGAGGCGATGCATCGCGACGCTCTTGAGAGCCGAGCCAGTTAACGTCTACCGGCCGGTTTCGTCTATGAAACTGCGGGTGTCGATATATCAGAAGCAACAGAGAGAGAGAAGGTGGATGGTGGTGTTGATCAGAGGGGGCTGAAGGCAGGTGGAAGGGATCGGGTCCATGGTGTCGATGATGGACGCCTCGTTGCAACGACGTAATCCACACTTTCCGTCAAACCGCGGCATCCCTGACTCATTGTCAATCGCGGCCATCTCCACTCGTCTCCTTTTTCTGTTTTTTTTTTACCCCCACCCCCTTTGTACGATCCCCTTTGTTCGTGATCGCCCCGGATTTCCGAATAAATACCTACGGAATCAACCCTTGTGACCGCGGAGACCAGAGCAAGGAATTTGGACGTTTCGGGGATCAATTTTGCGTCAGTTTAGAAAAATATTTAATTGAATATTACCGTGTGGATTTTGTAATTTGGAAACGTGTATTGATTCCTATTAGATTTGTGTAAATTGTGGTAGCACAGATTTTGAAGCACACAGTGTTTATCTATGGGTGGAAGATTGTTTGGAGAATCAACCCTTTCGTGTCAGTTTGAAAAATATTTAATAGATTATTACTACTGTATGGATTTTGAAATTTAGAAAGGTGTATTTGTTCCTTTCAGTTTTGTGCATATAGTGGTAGAATAGATTTTTAAACACAGTGTTTATCTGTGGATGGAAAATCGTTTGGAAAACCAACCCTTTCATGTCAGTTGGGAAAACATTTAATAGAATATTAGCACTGTGTGGATTTTGTAATTTGGAAACGTGTATTTGTTCCTTCTAGATTTGTGTAAATTGTGGTAGCACAGATTTTGAAGCACACAGTGTTTATCTATGGGTGGAAGATCGTTTGGAGAATCAACCCTTTCGTGTCAGTTTGGAAAATATTTAATAGATTATTACTACTGTATGGATTTTGAAATTTAGAAACGTGTATTTGTTCCCTTCAGTTTTGTGTATATAGTGGTAGCATAGATTTTCAAGCACAGAGTGTTTATCTATGAGTGGAAGATCGTGTGGAGAATCAACCCTTTCGTGTGAGAGTGATGTGTAAGATATTGAATATTACTATGTAGATTTTGAAATGTAGGAAATTTAGTAAATGGTGGTGGATAAATTTTAAAGCACAGATTGTTTATCAGAGCGTTTAAGACGTATAATATTGTCATTTCGTCGATTTCTGGAATCTTTTAACAAATCGACCGATAAAAGATTCTCAGCAAACAAACGTGGAGGATGTTTTACGACGGGGGGATGAAAAATTCCAAGAAGAATTTGCCTATCGATCGTGTAAAACCGTGTTATTGTCAGGTGTGGTATCTCGGTGGACAAACATGGAATAGTTTGTCTTGGGTCTACCCAAGAAAGGTTTAATCCCAGAGTGGTAATGTCAAATACTTATTACGTAATTGGTAGGGTGGAGCCTGGCAGATCCGTATCAGAAAAATAGACGTTGCACATACATTTCGGTTTAATTAAATATGATCGTGTCTCTTGGTGCTAGAACTACAAAGTCTAAGACGAAATATAATATCATTCTAAAAAATTATCTAAGATTTCAAGTTAGTAAAATATCCTGGATCAACATAGATCCTAACATAAGTGGGAGATTTGCTTTAGAAATATATTAGTTTGATGTTCACGACAAAATTCCAAGCAAGATAACTCTACCGATCATAGAGTGCACAGAGTTTCGTATAGACAATGGGTATAACCAATCAAAGAGATGTTTTGAAATTCTATATGGGTCGTTCCGCTCCACTCTATCAGCCGAGCTTTAATCCAACACGTTGGACGGTCTCGCGTTCGCGAATTACATTTCGATCGACGCTTCGTTGCATCGAATAACTTCGTTCGTTCCGAATTGGGATAAAATCGATTAACACGTTTCAAATTACAAACGTACGTAACAGTTTGCCAGACAAACAGCAATTACCATCTGCAAAGGATAGTTCGTTTTTTTGAAAAACAAAGGCAAATCCATTGTTTAGAATCTGTCGAACAGTTTCTATGCTTGACGCTGTATAACAGTGTTGATCATCTAATTCTGTTTCTGAGAGAGTTAGTCGTTTCTTTAGAAACGATAATAGATATCAGTTGCATTAGGCTGTTTTCCGTTTGCTCCGATTTGCACGATTCTCATTCCGTTTCTGCCTTCCACCCTGTTTCCTTCGTTTCGCCCCCAGCCTCCCTCGCCAGTATGTTTATCGGAAAGTTCGACCTCGATGCATCGTACACGTATAAGGGATGTTCGTCGACAATGGCTGTGTCTACGTGTCTCCCCCTTTTGCTTTTTTATTCACCCCTACTCCTCCCTCTTTTTCCCACTTTCGTTTTTTCTTCCCCTATTTCGCGTTTCTCGTACTATTTCTCCCACTTTCGCGTTCGATGCCGCTCGGTGTGTATAATTTCCTGCACCGTTCTTCGAATCGATCGAAATCGAGGGTGGAAGGAATCGCAACCATCAAGTTCGTAGGCTCAGAAAACAAAATGAATTAGATATCTTTTATTTGGAAACCTATTTTAAAATTAACTCGATTATTTCGAATTTTATTTTCACTCTAAATTATTTCTATTTAAAATTCTATCTTGAGTTTCGTCCACTCTGAGTTATACTTGTTTGGGATTCTATTTCAGAATTAATTCCTCTGTTTCGAACCATGTCCATCTGTAATTCCATTTCAGAGTTAATTATTCCGTATTGGGTTTCTATTTAGAATTCGATTTGGAATTATCTTCCGTTACCCATCGGAACGAACCTTCAGCCGCGTCTACGATGAAAAACACGAAAACCGAAAACTCGATCAATCGTTGACTCGGTTTGTAAATCGATTTAGAATTTGAATGAAACTGAAGGACACAGCGAGGATATGTTCAAGGATTCGCGTCAAACTAATCTGAAGTTTCGAAACGCGTGTTTTCTGAAAATGTATCGCGACAAAAACAGCCACATTGTGGCGCCTCTTGCACTTTATTGTTTGATATACATAGCGGGTCGAAAAACTGGGACAAGCAATATCCTATTTTCGCAGGACGGGAAATTGGTGGAGGATAATGGCGAATGGTTAATGAAATGTTCCATAATCTGATTTTCCTCGATCTTAACTTGCACTTCTTTTTTTACAAAATAGTGCATCGTCGAATAAATCAATTCCTTGCATTATTTATCGTACCAAACTTGTAGGTTCTTTGGTACAGAAAGTATTATTAATTTTTCAATAATACGTACCGAGAATTTTTAAACTTCTAGCAATTATTTATATAATTCAACTTTAAATAATTTCTGGAAGTTTATTCTGTTTAGTAAGGCATACGTTTTTATGCCCAGAAAATTTAAATCTCCAGCCCTTTAAATATCGAAAAAACCAGTTGAGCATTTTTTATTTTAATCCAAATAGCGCTTTAGCGACTGGAAAATTCAGGAAGCTATTAAACTCTGTAAATGGAAATTCATGATCAGATGTCTGTAAATTTTTGTTTCGCGAGCATGGATTTCAACGACACTGGAAATAATTTATTCAGTGGTTAGTATTAAAAAATGGGCAGATATCGTTGCGTCTCCGAGCGAACGATGCTCGAAAGTATGTATAAAACGTATTAGAAAATAAATAAACTTTTAACGAACGCGTTGAGAATGCCAGTGCACGGTAACGAAATTATACGCGCGGAGCAAGTTACTGACTTCGTTAAATGAAATATGGAAAGCAAAATAAACTATGTTGATCGAAGTGATCTTTTCTACGATAAATATTAGGTTGCTGTACAAATTCTATCCTTGGCTTTCTTGTGGAATTCAACACGAAAATAACGTTTCTACAGTTATCTATCGATACTGTTTCTGCGATACGAAGGCCAATTCAAAATACTTTCGTTGCGACAATAAACGATAATAATTGCGAAATTATACATTTACAGAAAGCATTGTTCGACTAGCTTTAGACTGATAGTACTCGAATGAATTTTCTTTATACTGCAATATTTTATGACAAATTGATTTCTTCTGTTTACTATTGGACAGACCTTCTGCAGCACCTGATACTCTAGTAATACTCTTTAACGACTGAAAATGAGAGACTACAGACTAGAAAAAATACGAGGAACATGTACAGAGTGTTCACGCTATTATCAGCCATCGTATTTTCTGTAAGTAGTAAGAATTAGAAAAAAAATTGACACTTTTTTCTAACGGCTGCTTCTTACGGGAAAAACTACTAGTGATGGCGCGAACACCACAGTGGTAAAGTCAACGAACAAATCGACTTCGTCGAAGGGTATCCCAAAAATAGTCGTTGAATTCATTAATATTCGTGACTTATAATACTGATAACGGTGGTAAATTATTACCAAAAAATCTAATAGGTAAGAATCTAATGGAAGAACCTTTCAAGTCGATTGTTTCGTCGACTCCGTTCATCAATAACAATTACAAAGTGTGACAAATTCGGGATAACGTGGGAGGGGGTGGGAGTACATCGATATTCCTGGTCGTGGCGAGGTCTCACCAGGTGCACCAGAGACTGGACGAGAAGACAGACAGGATTTCCGGCGGCTTGTATGACCTCAACTGCCCGCTCGTGCGTGCCGTGTCGCAGGTCCACGCCATCGACCTCGATTATCCGGTCTCCGACCTGAAAGTACACGCGAACGGAAACGCGACCATTAAATCCTTCAATTTTGCTCGATTCGCCACCGTTCGTTTACTGCTTCCCCTTCTCCCTGCTTAAATCGACGAATCTCTATCGATCCAACGTTTAATCGAGCGCTCGATTATCCGGACGGCGTTGTCCAGGCTTTTTTTTTTTTAAATCTATACGCTTCTACTTTCGTCACGAGTATATTATGAATTTCTCCACCGACTGGATTAGAAATTTTCAGTTTAATCCATCGTTAAAAATTTGAAAATTATTACCTTCAATTCACCGGTTCTTCCGGCGGGACTGTTCGGCAGAACGTTCTTTATGAATATCCCGGATATGTTCTGAGACTTACTAGAACTGCCATTGTGCAGATCGACCTAAAACATATATTTAATATTGTCTGAAAGAATTGTTAATCAAGGCAGAACGATCCTGCAAATTTTACAAGCACGACAGTTATACCAAAATAGCATTCCTTGTTAAGTAGAATGCTATTTAAAGCATTGCATAATATCTCGACGTGATAATTCGTTTAACCTTTCCGATACATCCAGCACTTATAAGCATTTTCACGGCCGGAATAATCCGCGCGCGATGAACGCCCAAGCGCGTCCAGTGAGCGTGTTTAAGAAATACGGCTGTGAGATTTCCGCACGACAGCGCGTGTCCAGCGATCGAATTTTAAAATCGAAAGAATCGAAGCATCGAAAATTTCTCTAGATCAATTCGAGGTTTCTCAATATTCCCAGCGTCGCGAGCAATTTTTTTAAAAGCAGCATCGAAGCAGAGAAAATTGACATCGACAATTCTATTACGTTACAAAGTCGACTTTAATGTCTCGAAGCCATTCGGTACGTTAATGCACTTATACTAGTGCAACTTTGTGCGTCATATAGACGTACATTACTCGACTGAAATTAACAACCAATGCCATCAACGTGGGCACCATTAGCTGTTCAGTACACGACGTAATTAGTCGAGCAATTACCGAACCAAGAATAATTACGTTTAACAATTGTTGACGAAGTCTGTTGTATTGCTAATTAAGTTTGTTTTAAAATTAGGAAAACGTTGAGTGAGGACGTCTAAATTTTTATGATCTTTATGATTAAAGAAAAAATACATGTCGAAATAAATATGAATTTTTGAAAACTACAGTTTCTTTTATCCAATTGACCCTACTTTATTTATCGACGATCATCGAATCAAACGTTTTCTTGTAATTTCTAGGATCACTCTGTACAGTACTCGAGTTTCGTTAAATATACGAACGAGCGCCGTTTAGATGTAACTGGGCTTGAAATGTAGGCCACGATGAATCGAAACAGATCCTAGAATACTAGTTTATGATCAGCTGTTTTGATAAGAGAACCAGGGTTGAATATTAAAATTTCCAAAACGGACTACATTCGTTTTTAAACAAACATAGGCGTTTACAAAAGATTGTTTTCAAAAGTTCAGGTACGTTTTAAGTCCAGTTCTACTCAGATACCGCTCACCTACCAAGATCAGCCATACAAACACACATACTCACCAAAACAGTATCAAACTTTTGTTTCAACTGAACGTAGGTGTGTTGCGTTACCTTTCCTCCTGCGATGCTCAGTCCCAAGCTAGTTTCTCGTTCCCTGTAGACCTTTACGAGCCTCTCTGGGCCTCACACACGCAAACATACACATGCAAACACGCACCAGTAACATCAAACTTTGATTTCAACACAATGTAGACGCGTTACGTTACCTTTCCTCCTACGATGCTCAGTCCCAAGCTGGTTTTCGGTTCCCTGTAGATCTCCACCAGCCTTTCCGGGCCCCAATGTTTGGACCAGTTGACGTTCCCGTCGTGTTCTCGGTGTGTGACCGTCATGTCGACCGGTTCGTCCGCGAATACGACCGCCGGGATCCTGCAGGGTGAGCCGCAGCTGGAGGACGCCGAGCTCTCGGTCTTCTGGGACACAGAGCTGACGGGTCTGCTCTGCAACCGTGGCTGACAAACGTCTACCTCCGCCTCTAGCAGCTCATCGTCGCTGCACTGGATCGCTTTGGACTCCTGGTAGGTCTGAACCTCGACCTCCCTTCGAGGGCTGCGAAAAAGCTTGCCGCGGGTCGGTGAACAGGCTGAGCTGCTGATGGACTTGCCAGGACTGGTGGATATGTCCTCGGGGATGCACTGGATGCTCTTCGACTCCTTCGCCTGGATCCTCTCCGACCTGGATGGGCTGTCGAAGTCCTCGGTGTCCGCGTTCTTCGTGTATCCAAGACTACCTAGGTCGTCCAAGCAGCACTGGACACTCTTGCTCTCGCCTTGGGTCTGGGTCTGTACTTCTCTCCTAGGACTCTGGTAATACCTTCGAGCAACGTGCAGAGGACTATCCTTAGAAACTTCGGAAGGACTGACCACGGAGCTCTGCTCCGGGCTGCACTGAGTGCTCTTGGTTTCCTGGTGGGTCTGTGTCTCCGCGTCGCACTTCTCTTTGGGCGAGTACTGGGTCTCCTTGAAGCTGCGCTCGACCTCCGCCGAGCCTTTGTCTTGGATCTCGTCCGGCCAACAGTCCGGCACAGACCTCAACAGATCCTCCAAGGACGACGAGATCGCTCCGTGCAACAGATGATCCGACTGGCTCTCTAGCGTCTGACTCTGATACTCTAGCGCGTGTTCCTTGCTGATTAGGCTGTCCTCGTCGGTCCTGGAGACCGTTTCCTCCGGCAGCGGACGCTTCTGCTGCCAGAGGAGCCTGTCATAGTCCTCGTTCTCCGGTCTCTTCTCTGTTTCACTGCCCTCGTGTGGTTCTAACCTCCCCTGGTCCTGGGATGTCTCTGTTTCGGGGGACCTCGAAGGTAGCTCGGTTTTCGTCTGCGTTTGCCGCGGGCTAGGCTGATCCTCGGATCTTCATGGAAACAGGAAACACAGATATAGAGGCAGAGTCAAGAAAAAGAACCGCGTAACGAGGTTGGTCTAACGAAACGAAGTCTACCCGGCTCTTAACGAGCAAGCTCCGAGGGCTTCTTATTCTGGATAACGTTTCCAGCGAATCCGCTAAAGCAGCGAATGGAAAGGTCTTCCGTGGTGACCCACTAATTGCGGCGACGGTTCTGGTCGGACGGTTAATACGGTCAATGGGGGAAAAGGGTACGCAGCTGCATTGTGGGACGGGAATTGTAAGACGTCGCGCCTAATGGCTCGATGCTGGGACGTGTAACGATTAATCGCGATTGGGCAGCGCACAGTGGGGCCATTGCACGCCAGACGCGGTAAATAGTGGTTTTATACAAATATACCCACAATGAAATAATGATTCACTAATAGTTAATGGGACACATGGACCAAGATTTAGTATGATTACATGATTACAAGATTACATGATTTTCAAATGTTCGATCTTAAAATCATCCAAAATTATAATCATCGTTTATTGTTGCTTTGATTCTTCAAAGTAAATAATGAGTAATCGAATTAAATTTACTTAGTACATATTTAAATTACACCAAAGTACACTTTTATATCTCCAACATTTTTTGAGTTATAACTAATTGAACATGTTCAGTTTTCATTTTATTTTTTAATTATGAATGCAGTGTGATGCAGTGTTCATTTTAGTTGCTTTTTGTAGAGTGAAGCCTTATCTTTTTTTTTTTTTTTTAAATTAGCTGCTACTGCGAAAAATATAAAGATGATCAACTGTTTCGATACGTGCGAGCGTCGGTGATTACGAGCATTGTTATTATTATATAAAAGATGAAGAAAAATGGCAAAATTCAAATATATATATACATATGTACCTACCTGCTTCACTTGGAAATTCCATTACTTTAACACTAAATATTTCACTCACAACTTACAAGTATTTTTGAAAATCGTAACAATGCTTTTAAGATTGAACATTTGAAAATCATGTAGTCGTATCAAAAATCGACAAATGATAAAAAAAATCATACTAAATCATGGCCATGTGTCCCATTAACTATTATTGAATCATTATTTCATTGTGGGTATATTTGTATAAAACCACTGTTTACCGCGTTTGGCGTGCAATAGTCTCACTGTGCAGCGATGAGATCGAGCACCAGTGGGCTTGCGATCGAAAAAAGTGAGATTTCAAACATCTCTAAGCATTTGGAGATAGGGAAATTTCTGATTTATGGATGTTTAACCATTAAGTGAATTATTGGGCCTTTCACAAATTTAAAATAATACATACTCTATTATTCTACAAATAAAACTAAGACTAAAATGTTATATAACAAAAAATCCATAAATGGTTTGTGAAGAAGTTATAACAAAAACATGAACTGTGAAACTCGGTTGACATTCAGGACATTCAAATTAGAAAAAAAATTTATAATAAAATAAAATTAATCTTTTGCAAGCATTCGATATCATGAAATTGTTTGCAATTTACTGAACATAAACTTGAATAACATAAAATTTGATGACAACAAAAAGTCATCAACGAAGAAAGAATACTTCAGCATCCAAGATAAATGATAGAAACTAAACTCTGATAAAGAAATGTGTAAATTATTCATATAATTCTACGTTAAAAATATTTTGTCATGTTGCTCGCTTGAAACAAAATTTTAGTAAATTTGTTTGTTCAATAAATAAAAAAACATCTGTTTTCATATTTTTGTCATAACTTCTTAACAAAGCATTTATGAATATTTTGTTATATAACACTTTAGTGTTATTTTTACTTGTAGAACACACTGTTGAAGCGTGTACGGAAAAATGCGGAACATCCTGTATATCAATGTAATTATTTAAAAATTTATGTAATCCTCCATTGTTTTTTAAATGCTTTGAAGCTGCTTTGGTTGATTGTCATTTACCAATATGATAAAAATCAGCATTAAGTAAAATAATTCAGTTGAGATTGAGAGTTCACTTAAGGGTTAAACGATTGTGACTCTGGGGATGAGAAGTAAACAGGTTTACAATTTATGATTATATTCTAAGTCCCAATATCGATTCTATTTTGTTCTATGAATATTTCTATATGCATGTATAGGCATTGTTTTCTATCTCAACTGTAAAAATATAATTGTATTTTTTCTTGTGCGCTAATGGGTTTTTGCTTGTATAATAAATAAATTAGAATTTTAAAATGTAAATATTGTTTGGTAGATGAATAAATGGACTACCCAAAAAAAACACTGACATTCGTCAAATCAATGCTTTCACTGGATTCTTCATTATGGAACTAGACAAATTCTCAAGTTAAAACGTACGAAAGAAATAAATTTGGATAGAATTCATGAATACTAAGATTGAAAAAAGAAAAGTGATTTACGATCGTCTGAAATCCCTAAAATCTTTTCCCCCTAGTATTTTCAGCAATTAATAACTGAGACACCTGTCACTATAACTAACACTCTATATTGAACTTGACCCCATTACTGATGATGGGTTAGAAACTAATGTCTCTACGGTGGAGATACGGTCTGTCAAGATGAGAAGATCGAAATAATCCCGTTGATGGATTATGACGTCCGTTGTACTATTGTTCAGAATATGTTGTTTTAGATGGAGAAGAGGTTGAAGAAATTAAAATGAAACTAATTACAATACTTTTAATTTATAAAAAGAACCTGTAAAGGTCGGAAATAGAATCTGTTGTATAAGATTTAGTAGACTCGTAGCTTGGTATGTGTACTTTTTACTGTTTATTCGGAACAAAGTCTCTGAATATAACATTTTTCAGGCCATCAGCCTGTCGTAACCCCTGAAGTCGCGTCGCATCGAAAGCACGCTTCCAAAGTACCGTTTTATAGGGTCGTCGCAGTTTACTATCTCAAAGCACCGTTTCGTGGCTGGTTTACCTGCACTGTACGCCCAGCGAACTGTTAAGAATTCAATGTTCGATCGTTTCGTAACCAGTTCCCGGAATCGTCGCTAAATCGAACAAAACAAACGAATCCTACGTGCCACGGTGCATCGAAAGGCGACTCTGGGACGAGCAGTCCATCAGTCCATGAGGTTCGAATAAAAAGAACGAATAGAAAAGCTTCGAAATTTGGTTGAAATATTTATCGAACATATGTATATAGAAGGCTCTGTATGATCAGAATTTTATGGTCAGTTGCAAATATCTTGCGAACTGTTATTATTACAATTTCTAGTACAAAATTCACCACGTAATTGGCTGTATTTTCAATATTTTTAAACACCTCTATCAACCTATAAATAGTGGCGATAAAAACTAAGCTACTCCAGCTATTATCGTTAATCCTCGAATCATCAACGATCTCGCTCCACGTTTTATGATCGAAGTTTGTTAACTCTAGTCTGACTCTCTCGTCTAAATAAAATACACTAATTCTTTTCCTTTTAATATTTTCAGATAATTTATTTGTAGCTATCAATCCATCAACATTCACAGTCAATTTACTCTCAAAATACTACAGCTATCAAAAACATGAACAGAACCAATTATACAGAGAATTCCACCCCCTTTCGTTTCGATAATAACAATTTCCCCCTCAAAACGCATACATCGCAAGATATTTGCAAGTTTCGCGACTCCGATCCGCCGAGCTACATTCCCACCAGTGCAAATATCACCAAACAACGAAATCCTCGTCGAAATCACCCTTAGCTACGGACTGAACCGGTGCGTTCGAACTCTTACGAACTCTTACGTTCCCTCGTTATCCAATCACCGGGTGCCAGATCGATTCGATCGACCGTCTTCAAGCGTATTTCCGTCGATTTTCCACCAAACGTTCACCAAACGGTCGAAAAACCGGAGTCGCGAAACGAACGCACGATTCAAATGGAAACTGGGGGACGTAGGGGGCGGTTGGGAGAAAAAGTATTCGCGGAATTGCGGGCAGAAAAAGTCCAGATACCTCTGTCACGTTCCGCTACGAAGCCAAGGTGTTCACTGGCGTGTCTCTGGGCGGGCGTGCGTCACTGCAAACTGGCTTACTCTGATCTAATAAACAACACACTCTGTGCCGCGTGTACACGAAAACGTGGCGCGCGCTCGCGTGCACCCGCAAAACAAACGCGCACCGACACCTACACACCTGGCGCAGCCGTGGTCTCGTGTTCAGGGAGGTGGGGAGGAGGGGTTCGTCTCCGTCGCGACGGAGAGTACACCACGATGCCTAGGCGGTCCGAATCACGACTAATCGCGAGCAACCACCTCCAGGAGTATTCTCCTTCGAGTGCATGCACACACTCGCGCACGCACACACGGACCACGCGGCTCTACGTGTGGGTGAATCCACGCGAGTTCGCTGGGAAGACCGTGTGCGTGGGAGTGAGCGCCCGGCCGAGCTTCGTTGCGGCAAAGCTAGCCGTCTCTGTTCCTTCGCGAGCTCCTACAGGGCGGGTCAAAATGCAGGAGCAATGGAGATTAATTCTTAGTGGTCCACAGTTTTTTTTTTTTACCCTAAAATACTGTGGGTGCCTGCTTAATTATTTTTTAAACTTGGTCCAGTCGAACTTCTGGGCTTATTTACGCTTGTGGGTGTTCTCAGATCAGTCTAGATTTCAGACGACCGAGGGACATAAATGTCTTTTAGGTATGATTCATTAGCGATCGTTTTTTACGAAAAACTATAAAGTCTTTTAGCACAAGAAAATTTATGTACATTTTATAGCGGTCACTGAATACGCTTGACAAATCTAAAAGTTATCGCTAGAATAGTTCGATGTATATAAATTCCCAAAGACACACCTTCTTCTTGCTTGTCAAGAAAAGCAAATATTTTTAGCTACATTTCTCAAATTATTTTCCGTCAAATCTAGTGGATCTACTAAAGTAAAAAAATTCATACATATAGCGCCATAATCCCTTGCAATGCACACTAAATTTCAATCCAATCGATCGAGTAGATTCGATATTATAAATTCTCAAAAATGACCCTTCTTCAAGCTCGCCAAGAACTGCAAATATTCGCATTCAAATTTCTCAAATTATTTTCCACAGAAACTAGTGAATCTACCAAAGTAAAAAAATTCATACATATAGCGTCATAATCCCTTGTAATACACGCCAAATTTCAAGCCAATGGATCGACTGGATTCCATTTAATAAGATCTCAAAATAGACCCTCCGGTTTGGAAGCGTCCAAACGAGGATTCCCATAGTGTAAAAGAATGTTCCGCGCGTTAAAAATTTCCAATTTCCGGGTATGCGTCCCCTCACCGTAAATTCCAGAGATCGTCGAGGGGACCTCGTAACTTTTGACCCGCCCGGTAGTAGAGTCCCCTCCCTTCCGGTGCCAGTCGCTGGCCATCGACGTCTCCGTCTTTCGGTTACCTTACGGTTTACGGTCTGTAACTGCTTCTTCTGTTTCTTTCAACGATGTTACGCCGCCGTGCTCCCTCCACCGACCGGCACAGACTGCTCGACCTTATCTTTTATCGTCTCTATTCGTCTCTCGTCTCTGGCAAGCACTTTCCTATATTTATATTCGTGTTCGGTTTCCGCTATGCCGCCGATGCTTTCTGTTCCTGTAACCCACTTTCGTGGCTACTCAAGCATCGTCTTTGCCGGGCTTCTATTCGTTTCCTGTTTCCTTGGTTCCGTCGTGCAACGGTTCGACTCTGTCGCCGAGATAGACGGGTTCACCGGATAAGGTTAAGGGTTGCGAAACGAACCGGGTTTCGCACGCGAACGAAACATATGCGCGGTTGCACAATGGAACAGAACAGGCTATTTCTGCGTCCGCACGCTAACTGAATATAGTGCGACTGTTTGAAAGGTGAATGTCAAACAAGTTCAACGAATTGCTGACGCCGTGTATCTGATCTAAATCACGCGTGACTTTTAACACGCGAACGATACGTCAGTCTGAGCTGGACAAATTTCATTCGCGATCGACGAATGAAACTTTTGGATTCCTTCGTGAACTGACATTTGCGAAAACTTACGTAAATCAGAATTTGCAAATCAATGTTTTAAACTGACATTCAGGCAGGCAATGTCTATTGAATCAAGTTTTAGAATGAATCTAAAAAGATTATTGGTTAATCATGAATGAAAACAGTGCCATTTTAATTTCTGAGTCCTCTACGAAGCTAAATTTTGGCGAAGTGTGTAATATAGGATAGAAGGTCTTGCACCGAACAGTCAAGGCAATATTGATTTTAGAATAGTGATTAGAATTTGTGATTCCTTTCGAGGAGTACTGAGGCCTTTAAAGTCCTTGTTTCAATGATCCAAGCTTTCGAGTGGATGTGCTATAGCTTGCTGGGATGGAAAGGATCACTGGAGTTAATTACTTAAGAAATTTTGCGGTTTCAGCAAATTGGCCACCCCTAATTAGCGAACACGAGTATAGAATCCATTGGGGTGCCATTTGTGGAAACTTTTCGAGTCCCCACAGATGGTTTAACAAGTAATCCCTAAAATCTAATGATTTTCTCGGCCTAATAATCTGACATTACAATAAAACACCCTTATAATTTGAATAAATAATGTCAAAATAACAGTGGGTTAAGGGTTTTTCATCGAGCATCTTGCGTACGTTTTCGTGTATTTTTGAAGCTCGACTGTGCACGATGATAAAAGGAAGGGGAGAACAGAATGATACTAGACGGGGATTGATGCTTTGAGGCTACGGAATATCGACGACATCGGGAAAGCTTCTTTCGGAATTGAAAAAAGGTGGGCATTCTCCTCGACGAAAGTCCATGAATAATGGTTGACGGAACAAGAGTTTTTGCTTCAGGGGAAAAAGTGCACGATTATTCGTGAGTGATCGAGGAAAGTAACCGGATCTCTATTTGGAGGCAAAAATAAAATCTGCTCGTACGATCAAACATTATCAAAGTGAATACCAATTACTTCTTTTTAACGATCCACAATGAAGCTTTCTGTTGGAACAGTGTTACGTGTAACGTTGTGCTTATGGAAAAAGAAAATCATAAGTAAAATCGATCATAAGTACGTGTGATGAGCCTGAAAGAAGCCATAAACGACACACCTAAGTATAATAGATGGGTCGACCGTAGTTCAAATATACATTTCGCAGTTTCGCAGGCACAAAATCATTCTACGCACTAAACTTCGAAATTATTTAGAAGAATATAAATACCAAGGTGACAAATTGATAAAAATAAATGTGATTATTTAATTTCCAATAAAAAAATAATTATGATACCAATATTATGGTACAAGTGAATTCTAAATGAAAATGCTTGTTCGAGGGCAATAAAACGAACTGTAAAAAAGTATGTTTTCGCGTCAGTGTTGAGTTTCGACGACGCGGAAATGTTAAAACGATCGTTCGCGACGCCCCTCGAGCGAGGTTCAAGACATTCGACGCTGGAAAGAAAAATAATTGATTGCCGTGCCTATTTTGGGTTCAATCGCTCGGGGGAATGAGAGAAAAGGGATACGGCCATAGAATTTTCAGGTCGCGAAACAATCTGTTATATTCCAGGCGACCTACATTTCCGATCAATTGTGCGCATTTCTCGGGATTTCGACGGTCACCGCTGGTAATTTAACCAATAGGCAAAGAAAAATAATAATATTCCTCGTCAACTTGCATTGGAGGCTTTCCTCGAGATCCACTGGACTGTAAGACTCGGTTATACGAGACTCAGAAATCGCATTAAACCTGTGGATATTTATTTAACAATCTTCTTTAGACATATTGAGCATCTATATTGATGCAGAATAATTTATTCGACTTATCTGGTCATCAGATTGTGGGTAAAGAAGATTTTCTAGTTTTAAATTCTCAAATGCATCACAAGGTCCCTAATATTAATTTTGATTTTATTTGTAAAATTTGATCGGTTAAGAGAGGATTAACGTTCGAGAATTCGAGGCTCGACACCATTATTTGGAAACAAAAATAAGCTTATGAAAAGACATTTGAATTTATTTTAGAACTTTAGTGCGTTTGGACCACTGTATTCGAAACGTAGGATTCGGGTAGACTCTCCCCTACATCACACCGACGGTAAAATATGGCGGTGGATGTGTCATGATTTATGGTTTGCATCATCGGGGGTCGAAGGAGTGTTTATATGCGATGGTCGAACGAATACAGAAAGTATACAAACATGTTGCCAAGAAATTCGGAATCTATCAATACATAACTTGCTCGAAGCACGAAAGCTTACATTTTTGTACAAGAGATTCTTGTTATACTTGGAAGGAATCGGGGAGTGATTCACTGAGAATACATGATATATGTACACTAATAATTTTGAACGTGCCCCATAGAGAGCGATTCTGGAAACTGGGACAAGCTGAATCTTTTTTAAGCGACTATATGTATAAAGAATTCATAAAGCAAAAATTTGAATTCTCCATATAAAATAAATGTAGTCGATGCAATACAAAAATAAAAATAGAAGAAAAATACTTATGGACCCACCATTTCATAGGCAAGCTAATAAAAATTTCCTTCTTTAGCAAAATACTGTAAAGTTCTTAGGTCCAGTGACCAATTCTGCAAAGTTTCTTTAAAATCGGAGTACTCATTCCACGTTTAAATTATAAGTTCTAAGGGATTCAAAACTAACCAATAATTCACTCATCAAAGATTGAAATGTCTACCATCTTAAGTTCAATGACCAATTCGGCAAAGCTTTACTAAAATCAAAGCCTATCCTTATCCCATTTAAATTATAAGTTCTGGAGGGTTGAAAACTAAACAAAAATTCAAGATGTCTTCCTTAAGTCCATCCAAAAATCTATCCATACTCACTTACATTTTAGCATCCTCGAGCGAGGCTTCTCTAAGGTCTTCTAGGCTCCTCTTCCTCTCGATTAGGGCAGTTTCCAGGAGAATGGTCAGCTCAGGTTCGTCAGGTTGCGCCAGACTACCGAATCTGAATCCCTCGCGTTCCTTCGTCTTGGCCTGAACCCTCATCGCAGCCCTCTTCGATCCCTCGCTGCCTGTTCTGCTGAGTTTCCTCTCCTTCCTCTCCCTGTCAGTCTTCGCAACCCCATCGCCAACATCGACTTTCGACAGATCCAGCAAGATCTCAGCCTTGAGGTTCCTCTGTGACACCTTGTTCTCCTCCTCCAACAACGGGTCCACCAGAGTATTCTCCGAGGTGGACTTGGCCAAGCTCGCCAACTGCAGCTGAGACTTGTCTATAGTCTCCGGGGAAGGTACCCTTCCGGTTCTGACTCTCACGGAATCCGGAACGACGAACACTTCCGGCGGAGAGTGGACCTCTATCCTCGCTGGAGGCTCCTCCAACCTGTTTGCAGCCGCCTCCTCAGCAGTGATGATCCTAGCCTTGACCAACTGGACTTCTGGCAGGGTCCCAACCTGCTCACTGGGCACCTCGAAGAAGATCTCCTCTACGTTCTCCTGTATCCTGACCTCCTTCTTGGCCTCGTCCAGCAGGGACTCTCTGGACGACTCCCTGGAGAACGTCCTCTTCCTCATCGAGCTTCTTCGTTTCGTCCCAGACACTTCAGTTTCTGGACTCGTCACCTTCAGCTCCTCTACGGTCACGGGAAGTCGTTCCAGCGTCGTTGGTCTCTCAGACTCCGTCGTGGAAGGCGTCCTGGAGACGATCTTCGGATCTTCGGACTTCTTCTCGTCCTCTTGAACTGGCAGAGCTTGGTCCAGTTCGTACAAGCTACAAGGACGCGCGATTCTTTCCCTCGAAGGATCACCAGGATGAATTTCTGGTTCCGAGTAGCCCAGGACACCGTGCTTTGCCAGGAACTCCGTGACTCTCTCGATGCACTCCTGCTCTTTGATGCTCTTCCTGTGCTCCTTTTCCCTCGACCTGCTCGTCTCTTCGTCCTTTCTTCTCGAATCCTCGCTCTCCACAGAGTCCATCCGCCGCGTGGAGTCCTCGCTGTCCTTGGCGATCTTCCTCTTGGCGCCTTTGTCCAGGGAGTCCCTGGACGTGGGCATCTTCTCCACGGAGTCCATGCGTCTCAAGCCTCTCCTCCTCTGCGTTTCAGGCACTTTTTGTATCGATCGTTCGTCCTCGACGAGCGGTTCTCGCTTTAACTTCACCTTTGGCGCCACTTTTTCCACGCCTGTCGCCGCGTCCTGGCCGTGTTTTGCGATCGTCTTGGTTTCTGGCGACGCCTCGCTGGCCAGGATCACGACGTCCCTCTCGCCCTCCGCGGCGGTCTTCGAAGGAGGATGCTTCGTGGGGCTGCAGGTCGGCGTCAATGGTGACGCGTCCTTCCAGTGCTCGTCATCGTCCTCGTCCGTCTCTGGCTTGTCCAACGACAGCTCCGTCACTCCTGAGGAGTTCGTAACCAGGACGATTAAAGTATAATCGCATTCCGGGCGATCGCGACGCCTTGGCAGGCTGTTATTGATCTCGCGATGACGACTGCAATCGCTGCAGAGGCTCGCGGTAACTGAACGCTAATTGTACCGTTTTCGAGCGGCGATCCTAATTAATTGCGTAATCGTTTGCCCGTAAACAACATTCACAGACGCGTGGAAATAGACTTTCGACCTTTGATTATGGGAAAAAATTCGTAGGATGTTTCTAAAACGTGAGATTTAGTTTGGGTTAAAATGATAGGGATTCGTTATGCAAATTTTTAATCAAAGACGAATGGAGGGTCTTTTGATTTTATTCTTGCGTATTTATGGGTGCTTAAATTATACTCGATGCCAGATTCTTACTATTGCCAAGTAACGAACACTTTCGTGATCCAAATTCTAGCAATGAATCTGGGCACAGAAATTGGATTGGTCCTGGCATCGGTGAGGAAACGAGGTTCTATAGATTAGAAACCCTAGACAATCGCAAGACAATTTAGATCTAAAGTAGAAAAAGTGAGCTTAACTTTAGTTTTGACATTGTAACCAGATTATAGAAAATTCTGATTCTGATCAAAGTGAATCGATATTCGCGTGTGTAAATAAAAAATATGGAAAAGATTGAGGTTTTGGAAAACGATCGAATGAGAGAATACCTGATCTTGAGGAGAGGAAATCCTCGAGCTCGGCTGCATGATCTGTCGTTTCGCTTTCGTTGGGGAAGCTTTTGCTGCGTCTCACGGGACAAATCGGCGGCACCCTCTACCGTGGGATCGGCCATCGGGACATACAAAAAAACCGAGAAAAAATCAGGCAATTATTGTCATCGTCAAGCATGTCCGTCGCGTTCGCCTCTATCGCGGCAGAAGAAGGGAGCGACTTACGCGGGAAAGAAAAGCGGTTCGACAGAGCAGACCTGGGCACTTTAAAGAATAATATATTTTTAATTGAAATAAAACAACGGAAATACTTGAAAAAATTACGTGTTTCGAAAATAGAATTACGTGTAAGTAAATCCTGTATAACTTAAACAAAATTGTGAACATTGATGGACACTGACAATGGGATAAAAATTGGAATTTTATTTTTAAATTTTAATATCGATAATCCTTCAATTGCACCCACCCTGATGTCAGAAATTGTATCAGAAAATAATTTTTCCAGACTAAAATACTCTCTGTACAATATAAAGCTTCGTTGCTTCAAGTATATCTCGGTTATTTCTAAACATTGTTACATTGAAATAAAAGCCTGAAATGTTATTTGTTATTTTCATTTTGAATAAAATTCGCCCAGGTCCGCGACAGAGTGCTACTTTAAAAAATACAATCGGTAACTCGAAGCGTAACTTTCAGGTGAAACGATAGAATCGAAGGTAAAGGTGCTGCTAACGATAACTTTGTCGTTAAATGTCCCGAGATACATAAATGTCATATTTAGTAAATTTATACTTCTTTTTAACTCAATAAATTTTCAGTGTAATGATTAATAGTTACAGTAGTTACCAATTCGTGTTTAAGACGTTTCTAAGAGAAGAGTAACTTTTAAGAGTGACGAGCAAATGTTATTTGGAACCTTAAAAGCAAGTACAGTAATTTTAACAACAATTTCATTTGCAAATACATAATTTAGATAAGTAGAAAGGAGAGACAAATAAAACAAGGGGAAATGGTTTATATATGGTCAGACATATCCTGCAACTAATAAAAAATAGTGTACCAACGTCTAAATTTTTATAAATATAATATAGAAAATATTCTTTCGACCCAAATGTACAGAATTATTATCGAAAATATTACAAATTATTTATATGCAAAAAGTAAATGCACGAAAGAAATTAAATACGAAAAGAAACAAAACAGTGTCCAAGGGAAAAATGGACTGTTTATATTTATGTTGTCATCGATAAATATATTTGGAATTCTTCGTATGTACAATTTCTGATAAAGAATGTATCGAAAAAAAATTGCAATAAAATCTACATATAAAGTGCTAAGAAATATGGAAAATTTAAATCGAGATGACAACGTACAAGTGAAAATGGATTGTCTGTGGTCAGACGTGGTTTAAACCGACCGTGACAGGAAATATATATCTGTCTGTAACTTTTCGTACATTCATTATCATGGAAATTGTTTATACCAAAAGCTATTCATTGTGACAAGAACCTCCAATATACGAACGACTGTTAAATATTTTATTAAACTCGCGAAAGATAATTGAAGCCCAGAATAATGAATCTCATTGATAATCATTAGCAGCACCTTGGCTCCAAAGTGGAAAATACGAGCTGAACGTTAGTAGAATTGGAAATTATAGTACAGAAAGTCTCAGGTATCGGACAGAATAATAGACTTCAAAATAAAGAACATTCGACAATTTGGAACATTTATAGAAAAAATTAACTAACTACTATTTACATCGCTATTTTCACTACATCGTTTTCACCAGCAATTACTTTTTCCTGTTTTTAAATCGCAATAATATAAATATATATATATATACACAACTATAATAAGTTCTGCTCTATTCTTTAGGATTCGATATCGATGTTCGAACGAAAATTGTCCAATCGTTTCTCGACTAAACCGCAGGATACAAGGATAAGCACATATTAAACGATAAATTATCGGTGCTGATAAATGCCATACGCTGAAAATATATTTGTATAGTTAATGACTAGCATGTACCGACGAAGTGCATGGAAAAGACTATACGAAAAATCTTCCCGTCTAACAATAGCCAATTAAAGCTACTTTCTCTGTCGTCGATCGAATTCTGTCAAGTAGAATTTCTCTGTGTCGAGCAATTAATTAAAAAAAAGTAAATACTTTGGACAATACACTTGATAAGAGGTACAACACGTTGAAAGCGATACATGTTCTGTATGTACAAAATGTACAAGGTGTACTTTGATTCAAAGACTATCTTGTTTAACCCTCTGACCTCAGACGCTAAAGAAAATATTTTATCGAACAATAAAATACTCCTTTTATCAATGCATCCAATTATTAATATTCTATCGTTTTTGCCGAACTGAAAATTTGGATAATAATTCGAGACGTGCCTCGTCCAACGGACAAAGGGTTAAAGGGCGTTTCAGCGAGAAGACAGCGGGTTCAAAAGGATTTCGCCTACTTAAAAACTCTTTCGAACAAACACACTCCGATCTTTCGTCCAAGGTCCAAGTCTTTTTGCCTTCATGGAAGTCGACATCCCGTTATGTAAGACAAAAAGCATTATTTTCATTAGACAAAAAAGCGTTCCACGAGTCTGACGACTCGGTCGTTTTATCCTCACCTTTCCGTCGTGCGCTTCGATCCTGTTCAACTTCGATAAATAGATTACTAGAAAACGCGACAACGAGGACGAAAATTGGACAAGATGGCGCGCGAGAATCGGCTTTGCAAGGCTTAAAAAAACATGTATCGAGAGGCAGCACCTCGACGGGGGGGCGCCTCGAAAATTTCAGATAAATTTAAGACGCACGCACCACTGGAAAATTTGTACAAGACGTCATAAACAAAATTCCGCATCCGTTTATTAACGTCGTGTATATTGCATCGATATATCGCTCGAAACATGAAAACTTACCTATTTTAAAAATACATCCTTCAACGAAAAATTAGGAAAATCGACATTCCCAACAGAGCATTAGAAATACTAAATGCACCAAAAGTAAAATTATAATAAACGAACGTCCAAGCACCGTTTAATAGGTCGTCGCGTCGAACACACGCAAAACGATACTTTTTAAATTTGCGTTTGCTTTTGTATCGTCTCTGGAAAAAAATTATCACGTTGTTCAAACACGCCATAATGAAAACAACGAATAATAATTAGAAAATTAACCGTCAGTCATTGGTTTGCAAGATTATTCGATCGACGATCAAATCACAAACTTTTAAACAGGGATCGAAAAAGTAATTCACGAAAATATAATTTAAAAATTTTATCAACTGGTTTAGAAACTAGTGTTATTTTCGTGATTCTTATTTCGGACCATGCATAAAAGTCTGTGCAATTTTATCACCAATTAATTAATCTCGCTGGTAAGAACGTACAGGTCTTCTCAAAATGTTCGATCGACGAAAATTGGGCAAATTTTATTTCCGAATAATGAATATAAATTTTAGATCCATTCGAAGATTAGTTAATTATTCGTGACTCGATTTTAAGAAATCCGAGTGAAAATTTACGAGCGAAACCTGAAGGAAAGCCAGTTTACGAACGAATCGAAAATTTTTATTCGTCGTTCGAAAATAAAATTTGCCCAACTTCGATAGATAACGGATAATAAAGACAAAACGAAACGATAACGGGGGAACGTGGAGGGTTTTCATACGAAGAACACGTTTAGGCAAAAGAAAACACTCATGTATAATATTACATCATGATTGGTCATTGCTTTCGGATATGAATATCATTGTTATTAATAAAACGGTCATAAACGTGCACATCGTGTATCTTTCAAATTCTTTTTTTTTTCTCTTTTTCGTTCGATTGTTCGTTCTTTGGTCGGTTAACTGCGGCAAATTGATCGAACTTGCTTCGCAAACGGTCCCGGTGCGGACGTTTAAGCATTGCCCTGAAAATGAAAATAAAATTGCCGAATTAGTAGCGGGAACGCGTGCACAGAGCGACGATATATACATCGCCACACAAAACGTTTCGAACGGCCTTCGATCTTTTGTACGAATCGAAACTTTTCACATGCGTGTGCCAGTTTCGTTAAAAATTCTACCCTTTCATATTTCAAAAATTTGACGAACAAGAAACACTTGTCTCTATTTGTGTTTTTTACTATTATTAATACTAAATCATTATTCGACTATCCCTTGTCACCCAATATTACCAGAAAAAATTATTTACACGCTTGTTATATTTTGTTTTTAATTTTCAAGTTAAAAGAACACATTTCCCAATGTTTCAGTCTTTTGGAAAAAGGTGATGATTAAGTGTTCAAAGCGAATGTAATTACGATTTTCCCCCTAGAATGGTGCTTAAGCAATGCTCAGATGATATGCAAGAATAATATTTTCAAGGAAACTATTTACGTATTTATGAGAAAAGGTTCGTTTACGTAATAGATCGAAGTGTCCTCGAAATTGTTATGCAACGGTGTAACTGTCCTGATTAAAAAGAATGTCTAGTACCGTGACCGTACGCATTCCACGCGGAGCATTCCCTCTAATCTCTACCATAGAAACAAGCGCGCTAAAATGTTAGACGCTAGAAATGCCTTCTCACCGGACGCGAATCGTTTAACGGAAACGGGGAATAATATTCATTTGAGTGTTTGTTTTCTAATAAATGTAATTCATAATCTTTGTAACCCAATTTAAACAATTTCAACCAACGAAACCAACGACGATATCGAATTTACTTATTTTTAATTCAAATTAAAAACCTTCGATGCTAAAATAATTGGAAAATTCAGTAAATTTTTAAATAAACATTAAAAGCTTCCCAATGAAAAATAGACTCGACCAACTGTTTCTAAAAATTCCCTCGTACTACTGCCATGATCGAGATACGTTTCGAGAGATCAATGTGGGTCGTTTCGACATTCTATCAAAGGGTCAAGACCCCTAAGCGGTTTAGGGTCGAGGATCATGGAAAATACATCGACTTATCGATTCCGCTGCGGTTCAGGTCTCGAAATATTCATACGCTACCGTCTTATTCCCCCTTTCGAGTAAATGATTCATGCTCGTGTAAGTAAATGTTGCAACGAGAGCTCAAAATGGCGTACCGCGGCG